GATACCTGGCAAGACGCCTGTTCAGGATCCAAGGTCACCACTACCAGTTGTTATGTCCCCCTTCGGCACTGGGACACCCAGGTCGAACACTCAAGACGCAAGATCGCCTACACAAGCTACCTCTGGCGGGGAGAAATCTCTTGACGGTGAGGATGAGAAGCTGAAAGAAAGGCCAGTTCAAGAGTCTGCCAACCCGCCAAAAGACAGCACGGATGAAAGCTTGAAACATCTTGCAGGCGAACAGGTCTTTGAAGAGAAGCCAGTACAAGAAATTGAAGACGTGACAAAGGATGAGAAGATACAGCAACCCAAATTTGGCCCGGAGGATTCTCTTCAAGAAGGTTTTGAAGAGTTTGATAAAGAAAAGCCACTTCAAGAGACTGAGCAGACTGGCAAAAATCAAACAGTTGGCGAGCAGTCCTTACAGCATTTTGAAGAGTTTGAAAAAGAGAAACCTGTACAGGAGACGAAAGAACCTGGCAAATATGACACGGGCGGGGATCAGTCCTTGAAGAGTTTAGAAGATACTGAGAAACAGAAACCATTTAAGGAGAGTCCAGGCAATGAAACGGAAGGTCTCTCTGAGAGAAAACCTTTACAGGAAACCGCTAATTCCGCTGTCAAGACCAAAAGTACCGTAGAAGAGGAGGTACGTCTTACTCAGGAGACCGTGAGTCCAATTAAAGGACTTACTGAGGAATCTGATCAAGTTAAGAGCGAGTCGTTGCAGGAGACGGGAAAACCCAGCCAAAGGCAAGATGCGGAAGGAGAAAACACAGAAGAAATTCAAACGGGCAACGACGTGTCTTCAGTTGACAATCCCGATGTGAAGCGACCTAAGCAAGAAACTGCTAGCTCTGAAGCTAACTCCGACAGTTTGAAAGAAGGATCTGTCCCCACTCAAGAAACCATGGCCGCTGGCAAGGGACCTTTTGAGGAGTCCGGGCTTGAAGTGGGTGTCAAGGTGCAACCAACAGATGACGTACACGACAATTTGCCTCCAGCGGGGAATCCCGAGTCGATAGAGCCTAAACAAGAAACAGCGAGCCCTGATAAAGAGTCCGATAGTTTGAATGAAGAAGTTGTTCCCACTCAAGAAACCACGGCGGCTGGTAAAGGACCTTTTGAGGAGTATGGGGTTGAAGTGGGCGTCAAGGCGCACCCAACAGACGAGGTACACGACAATTTGCCTCCAGCAGAGAATCCCGAGTCGATACAGTCTAAACAAGAAACAGCGAGCTCTGAAGTTGAGACTGACAATTTGAAAGAAGAGGTTGTTCCCACCCAAGAAACCATGGCCGCTGGTAAAGGGCCTTTCGAGGAGTCTGGGCTTGAAGTGGGGGTCAAAGCGCATCCAACCGACGAGAAAGAATAGTCACTTCTGACAATGTCAATGTAGCCTTCCTCTGGGATGGAAAGACTTTACTACGCGAAACAGCGCAATATTTTTATAGTGAAAGCTGACTGGAAGTAAACATAAACAACTAGTAAAAATGTTTAGGCTCATCTAGAGTTGGGAGGTTGATGTCAAAGAGAAAGTTATTGGCGAACGATTCACGCAATAAGCGTAAATTTGAATACCGTTTTAACAACAAAACAGCGAAAACAAAATTATTAACTTTTCCTCGGTCGATAGTTAAATCAAATTTAAGGCATATCTTTTTGGGAGAACCTGCACAGAGTGTATAAATTGTTTCTCATCTTGTCATTGGTATATGCGTTTGAAGAAACTAATGTGCAATGGACTTTCCTTTCATGCAGAGCGTTGGTAAGCCATTCTGTATATAGCTATTTTAAGTAAGGCAGTAGTTTTGAATGTTTGTAAATTTTATTGATTTAGGTGCTATTGAATTATTGGAAATTGCGCTATACAAGAAAAGAATTTTATTTATTACCATTATTATTATTATTATTTCAGCGAAAATAACAAAATTTCGTCACAAATTTAACGTGAAACAGCTTTGTTTCTCAAAACAGTTAAACGCATGCACTATTTAGGCTATGTTTTGTTACATTACGTTCCGATTTATATTCTAGAAGCATCGTTCCATTTTAACTTGACATTTCTTCAGTTAAATGTGATTATTATTCATTCAAAATATTTCCCCGATTCTGATTGGCTAAAACCACACGCAACCAGCTGCTGATGACCAAATATGGAAGAATTTTGCGATTAATCAACCGATGACGTCAAAAGTGCAGCTTTCTTTCAGGTTAATGCACCGTTAACCGAGAAGACCTGGGGGTGAGGTTGAGTTGTTTTGGTTGTGAAAACAAAAATGGTGGACATTTCAATCGCTTCCTTAGTAAGAAGTAGGCGAAATAATAGCTAAAAACGTGGCAAGGACAACAAGAAGACAACTCGAAGGGCGACATCTGCTATTTGGAGAATATTTGCGGAGCTGAACAAGCCTAAACGTGCACTATCGAAGATGAAGTTAAAATCGATGTAGGTAAGCATGTTTTAGCTATGTTTTTAAACTAGGCATTATTTTGAATGAATAATAACACAATTGTTGAATTCGGTTTTCGTATCATATGAAGAATTATGGAGATCTCGGAGGGTGTTATCCGTCTCGGCCCCTCCTCGATCTCCATAATTCTTGATAAGATACTCAGCCTCATTCATTAATTGTTAATTAAAATGTTCAATGCACAGTAAAAACTGGTTTTTTCCCTTACTTCCGGCCATTTGCTTCGAGCTCCCGATAACTCGATTACCCTTGAAGGTTAGAGTCATCGGCAGTCGAGTGTAATACTATGTAATGTATAGATTTAGCCAGGGCTAAAAGCGAAGCTGCCATTAATAAATTTATATTTTAAATCAAAAAATAAACTTATATTCGACAAGTCAGTTAACTTTAGAGCACGTTCATGTGACTTTTTAGGGAAGGCCAAGTGATTTTAAAGAAAAATAATTTGCAAACAGTCCAAGAGTGAACCAAATCTTACATCAAGCTGATAGCCTTATATGTCCAAAAAATAGCAATCATCTTCGATCACATTTAAGAGTAGCCTGCACTGCAGGCGTATTTTGGGTGGGCGAAACCTTGTTCGTGTTCGTAATATTGTTGTAGCCGCCATCTTTGATTTTATGACAGTGGAAGATTGCTCCTCTCTTCGGGAAGTTTCAACATGTCGCTTTCGCGAGCAAATTGAGCGCTCAAAGAAAACGCCTGCACTGCAGGCTATGAACGACGAGGCAAGAAAATCGCTCAAAGCTTTCTTTTACAGCCAGAACTATAAATAAATATTCTTTGGAACGTCTTTTTTTTCTATTTGCGGTGAGAAAATGTCTAAAGGCTTTTAAAAGTTCTGTAAGCTTATATTAAACCTGATACTCGGTCAGATCATTGTTTCAAATCTTACAAACGTACGTGCAAAAACTAAATAGCCGCATAAACTACGCTCGACTTCACTAAATTAAATATAAAAAACAAACATCAAATACAATAATTACTCAGGCTTACCATTCTAGATGCAGCTCCTGAAAGCTATCAAGTAAGGCCTGAATCGCTTCAAACTTTTCAACCCTCTTACGCATCAAGCAAGGTGAAAAACAAAAAAGATGCAATCCGAAATCGGATTTTCCACTTTGACAAGCGACGCATTTCTCAACCAAAAACGCAATAAACAAACCAGCCATGAATAACAGAAGACTCTTGATAGCAGCAGAATTTCATTTTGTACATCCAGTGAAACAAGACAGTTAAAAACATCACAAGTTGACACAAAACTCGGTCAGCTTCAGCTGTCAAAGGAAACAAGTTTTAAGATAATGCACAAATTTTCCACATGAACTCACCTATCAAATTTTGACCAATCAGAGCATAAAAATTGGACATAGAGCGTGATCAACGCATGACTATGGTGAGAAAAGTGAAAAGTATCTGTCTTCCCTGCCCGTAATGGCTGACTGAACTTTCACCTTCGAAATCAAAATTTTAATTGTGCAGCACATAAGCATAACATATTTCATATGATTTAAAACAAAATTAAACTTGTCAGCGGATAACTTCAAAAAAATACTCGACCTCGATGGGTGAAAACGTGAGCCCGCGTCACGGTCAGGTGATACTGGTCAGCAAGTACCATGTTTTGACAGCTGTCAATTGATCACAACATTGATGGGCAATATGTGTACAATATCAGTTTTCCTGTGCTACCAAACTAGCTAGAAAGTGTGAGATTGAACATTGGTTTCCATGTGGTGCGGACGGAAGGACGGGCGGTGTACGGTCACGTGATTACCAAATTTTCTGGGATGGATAGATTTCCTGACCTATGGGGCTCCGCTTGCGCGCGCTTCGGGGGCGTGGAGCTCTGTTAAAAAGCCCTGCTACCTACATATCGCTCTTTCAAATCTCAACATTGTCGACAGTTCCGAATCCTCGCTTAGGATCATTTTGTTGTCAACGTTAGTCTATCCTTATGAGCAAGATACAATGAAATAACCCTTGTTCATCAGGCAAGAAACCGAACAAATTGAATGATTTTGTTCCTTTTTTGCTACCGGTAATTCCTACTATTTTGTAGTAATTGTCATGGGGGGTGGGGGGGCATGGGGGCGGTTATTAAAGGGGACGTTTGTTAGAGAGGGGCGTCTGATCCAAAGTTAACATTGCTAGTAGCGGGGGCGTTTATTAGATATTAGTAAAATCCATCTAGTGGTCTATTATCAATGCTGCGTTCTGATTGCTTAAGCTACTACAAAGCTATATATTATAGCCCACTAGTAGCGAAAAGCGCCGGCTTTTGGCGGCAAAAAAGGATTAAAGTTTAGATTTAACGAGCTAAAGTTGTTTTGTCTCGATATTTTTTACCAGCTAGTTGGATTTTGCTAAAACAATTTGTCCTCTCGCCCTCATGGCCTCTGAGTCAATAATTTTAAACTTAAAACAGTAAACTGATCCTTACGGCAGGAAGAGAGAGAGAAAAAAATATCTAAAGAGAACAAAAATAAAGTGGTGAATTATATTTGCCTGATATTTCGGTTTGCAACACAAATCTTCAACGGGGGCTACAAAAGAAAAATGAAATACAGATAAAAGATGAACGTTACTTATGCGAGATTTGAATACATAGCAAACAGAAAATGATAGGCTACTACAAAGATAAATGTCACAAATTGAGTTCATCACGGTCTCCTATTTATACCATGAGTTTCTAAAGTCCTAGCTTTGTCAATGAGGTGAGCCTCGCGTGCCTTTGAGTCAATAGCCTCAATAGGCTTTGAGTCAATTTGCCTTTGAGTCAATAGCCCATTCGGACTTCGACCTCATAGACCATTGATTCAGAGCCCATTCGGCCTCCAGGAATAATTGTTAAAGAGAAGTTTATGTGAAAGAGGGCGTCTATTAGATCATTTAAGGTATGCCACTTCTCTTAGTCCCTTTTCTTCGAGCAATAAAGGAACAGAGAGGAGAAGTCGTTACGTCACGTTGCCATGGTAGCAAAATTTCTGGATGACATCAAACCGGAAACATCACTTAAAGAAGCTGAAGCTGATCAAGGTCTGAGCTTACACCTTTATAGCTAGTGTCTACAAAGCAGCTGCACGCTTACAGGAAGCTTAAGTTTCGTTCTGTAGACTCTTGTTTTCAGGTCAGCTTCCCTTCATTAAAAATTAAAACATAAATTAGATAAAATCTACTTTTAAAATTCTAATATAGAAATAATGATTTTGAGAAATATAAACATATGTAAAGACTAACGAGACAGTCTAATGATCCTTGATAATGACGTCATGATAATGCCCAAACGTCGGAACATTATCTCATTTGTTTTTACGTGTTTACTTTTAAAATTGTATGTTATTTAGCTTACGTTGGATTGCCACTTTTTCTCACTGTCAGCAAAAAAAACAACAACAACAAACAAACAAGTAAAAAAGGAGGAAATAACAGAAAAGTATAAAAATTTAAACGCAAAATCAAAATAATACATCAGATAGGGTCAGCTGTTTACCAAATTTTTCCAAAATGAGGATGACGAGATTAAGAAATGAACACGTACTTTTTTAAAAGCTTTTAAAAAAACGAGAAGGAGCGTATTTGCCTTGAGTTGTTAAACATGATATTGCACGTCTGAGAGTTTTTTGAACGGCTTTACAATCTCTGATATAGATAAACTCATTCTGGCACTTACATTTAGATTTGGGGTTATTCTGGTCTAAAAAATCAGGTAAAGTTTAGCCTTGTCTTTGTCAGATATGAAGACAGCCATCAAACATTAATTTCTTTTTTTAAATTTAAATGCGCCTTGACATAGATTTATGAGATACGCTTTCTTATTTCTGTTTCTGTCTAGCGAAATGTCAATGATGTTGATTTTAATTCATGCTAAAGGAGAATACGTTTCCCAAACTCAAAACAGAGGAAAATTTTCCAATATAATGATCCATCTGTCGCGAGAGATATTTCATATTACTAAGATCCGACTAGTGGTCTATTATCAATGCTGCGTTCTGATTGGTTGAGCTACTACTTGACTATATGTTATAGGCCCCTGGCCTAGTAGCGAAAAGCGCGGGCTTTTTGGCGGCAAAAAAGGATTAAAGTCTAGCTTTTAACTAGCGATCATTTTTTTTATTCTCGATATTTTTGACCAACTAGTTGGATTTTACTAAAACAATTATTCCTCTCGCCCTCATGGGCTATTGACTCAGAGCCCATTCGGGCTCGAGGAATAATTGTTAGTTATTTGTTAAAACAAATCTTCCGAAAGACGTCGTTTTTTTAAAGCTATTCCATGAGAGATTTACAAATAAATATGTAGATGGAATAATCCCAAAGTGGTGAATACACGAGTGGCAGCAACGAAACTCGCCTAATAAGGATCAACAAACGAGGATTTAAGGCTTCTGGCGTTGCACTGCAGGCAGGAGCTCAGCAAACGCCAGTATGGAATCATGCACATTGCACAAGTCAGGTAGGTTCAAGGCGGTTCCTGCTGCTGCATTTGGGAACTGTCTTTACCGAGTGCTGTCTTATCTTTCCTATAATAAAGCGTCCATGCAAGTTCACATTTAAGATAATGGTAATTAGGTTAATAAAACATTATAAATTACTATACATTCGAAATATTAGCCCGTTTCTTATTGGCTAAAATCCCACGCTTAATTCATCATAATCAGCTACTGTGGACCGAATTTGGAAAAAGTCGAGATATGTTAAAAATGACGTCAATTGTGCAGCAAATTGCCAGATTATTGAACAGTTAACCGAGAAGACCGGGGGACAAGGTTGAGTTGCTTTGGTAGTGAGTACAGAATGGCGGGCAATTACGCTCGTTTCACGATGAAGAAATAAGCAAACTATTGGCTAAAAACATGGCAAGAACAACAGGAAGACAATATTTGTGAATATATTTATATGGCGAACTGATTTGCAGTACTGAACAACCATATATCTCATAAACTTGCCGATAAACAGGAAATTCAAGATGACCAACTTCTATGGAGGTAAGCATGTTTTAGCTTGTTTTTTGAACAATATTTATTACAACACTTGGTCTGAGAGCCTTAAGGGGTCATCTAGAGGGCTTACGCTGTTTACATTGAACTTTCAAAAGGCACAAATACACGTCACGATCGTTTTTAAACAAAAAATTATTTTGAATAATAATTAAACAATTATTGAATTAGGGTTTCGTCTCATCTGAAGAATTATGGAGATCTCGGAGGGTGTTATCCGCCTTGTCCTCCTCCTCGACCTGCATAATTCTTCAGATGGTACTCAGCCTCATAAAATAATTGTTAATTATGTGCAAAGAATGACTGACTTACACTAGAGAGCCTAGTGACGCCGAACTCCAAGCCACCACTGTGTTGTTGAATCATCACTAGATGTACATCTGTGAACCCGATTGACTGTTTCATACCATCCGAAGTTATCCTCCCCACTGGGTGACTTCACTGCACTTGTGGATTGGCTGGTAAACTGACACCCGATCTTTCGACCCCAAACCGAATCAGTATGCGCATGCCAATGATCTCTTTGGACGAAATGAGCCGTACAGTTGCTACAGTTATATCCTCGGATGCTAATAAATTCGTATTCTTTACATCCGTCGAAATTCAAGCGCATAACGTCGATATCATTCAACTTGGCCCTTAAGTAATCTCTGTATTTAAGTTCTTCAGTGTTAAAGTTGCACGTTGCTCGCAAGTGCGTTGAACGGTTTGCTGTGGCTGTCATACGTGGCAAAGATAGACGAAACTTGCCCCATGTAAAAGCTTCCTGATTTTTTGGATAGTCTTTGTAAAATGCTTTGTCCTTAAATTCATGATTGTTACGAAGGCTGAAAGATTCGATCAAAGTCCAAATGAACCCTTTTTCAGAGACAGCATCACAAAAGACCTCGTACATGGTCATAGTCGCTGGGTCAAATAGTTGATACACTCCGGACTTGCTCCCTTTGTTTTCCCGTAGTTGCTCTTTGCAAGACGTTGCTCTTCTTTTCTGACAAAATCTGCCGTAATATCCTACTGCGCATGTACAGTTGAACTTATTTTTAGCGTCTTCACATGACTCAGTACAGGTGCCTCCATGGACGCATGGAATCTGATCACAGCACTGGTTGATGCATGGTTTCTCTTTTTCAGCCTTGTTCACAAATGTCTATCGTACAACGGGAGAGTATGTTAAAAGTGCATGTAGGAATAATCTTTATATATTTAACAATTATTCTTTGAAATCGAGGTGAATAGTGGCAAAATATTTACCGAGCCGCGAAAGCGGCGAGGTAAATATTCCCAAAGCCACTATTCACCGAGATTGAGAAGAATAATTGTTTTAGTATATACACACGAAGTGATCTCAACAAAATCAGAAAGGAAACCATTCAAAAGTAGGATTTGATTGACAGATCAAATCACGCGTAAGTTTAAAAATAGATCTTTGCAGAAATTTCAAACATGGCAATTCACAAGTTTATCATTTCGCAAACAACAGCGTAATGGCTTCAATGGAATCGCTAAAAGTTTGAAATGTTTCCTTACCTGAGAAAAAAAGTAGAGCTGTGTTGTTTTCTGTTGACTCGCCACGTTTATAGCCAAAAGTGCATGTTGTGTCGTTCTTCGCATGAAGTGCTGACAAAAATGGCGGCTCGGTTGCTCGAGGTAAGAGGTCGTCTTCCTGTATCATTCTTTTTCCTGTTTACTTGAAATGTAGAATTTCTGCAAACATTTCCTTTTAAATTTGTTTGTCATAAATAAACTTCGATTTTTGAGCCAAAATTTTCTTCTTAGAAAACGCTGAGTTCACGAAACGGCTTTTTCTACGCGAATACACGGGAGTTGTAAACAATCCATCGAGCACAAAACTCCTGCTACAGTAAATTGAAAAACGCCGTATTGAATCCTTCCAAGTCTTTTCTTGCCTTAAAAAAAGTCAGCCCTAGGATTTTGTCGACTTTTAAAAGATCGTTCTCTAAAAAAAAAACGGGAAAAACACCGAGCTCACACATCATCCACTCGCTAGGAGGTGAATATTGTTGAATAGTCCGAGATAGCGAACCAATCAGATTGCTTAAATCACCAAGATCACTGAGTGTGTATATACTAATATTATATAGACACGAGTGTTTTACTGGAAAATATACCACTCGTAAAATTCACAAAAACTACATCCGGGACCCGAGTGGTTTTTTTTCCATAATCTCACACGTAAGTTTATCGTTGACGTAATTTCGGTCATTTCCCTCTATTATTTTATCGATGTCTTTTTGTCTATATAATAAAAAGAACATTACACGGCGGCTTGAAGATATGAATTTTATTTTCGAGTGGCAAAAGCAATATTTTACTCACTCGCTGCGCTCGTTGGTAAAATATTGTTTTGCCACTCGAAAATAAAATTCATATCTTCGCGCCACCATGTAATATCCTCTATTTATTATTTGCAAGACCCTCTCTTTTTTACAATGTGCTTTAAAAGATATTTCCTTCTTATGAATTTTGATGAAAGCTCCGCTTTTAGGTTTGCCCAACGTCATGCAAATGCCGAAATATATACTCTGCTGAATAGAATAGAATAGAAAAAAATAAAAAAAGAAAAAATAGAAAAAACCTTGAAGGCTAGTGATATCGTATGGTCCGTCTCAATAAGTGCAGAAGCTTGGTCGAGTATGTTGATTTCAGTGACTTGAGTGGAGCTACTGTGGGCTGTTTATAAGTTTTTCGGAATAAATAACATAGGCCTAAAATGTTCCTTTGTCCGGTGCCGAAAATATCACAAGTCATGATCAAATGGCGCCGCCGAGCTTCGCATCCCGGGAGATTTACTTTGTGGCACAACGGCCGCCGAGCTACACAACTCGGCAGATTTACTTTGTGGCACAAACGACCGCCGAAACTTTTGAAAGATAAACGTTTTGAAAGATTCAGCAAACACAGATCGATAGTAGACATTCAGCAAACTCTTGAAATATGTACGCCTTACGAAGATTCAGCAAACTTTTGAAAGATGAACGCTTTACGAAGACAGAATAAAAGAAGGACGCACGAATCACCACGTGAGTTAGTTCGTCAAAGTGAGGCAAGACGTAAGCAAGCGCCTCAAAGCGAGGCAAATGAGTGTCGACGACTACGACAAACGCAATCTCGAAAAAACCTCCCTTATTAATTGCAGAGGGCACTCAATAATGCACAGAACACCCAACACAAATTAGGGGTTGCGTTCTCGTTACTCGAACGCAAAAAGACTAAAACACTAATTTACAAGGTCACGCCATTATCGACTTTCTAAAATTAGCGGACACACTCTTAGCTAGCTTTAATTTTAAGCGGCAGTCATGATATGACCAATATACATTCCTCTGTCATAGACTAAAATTTCGATGAAACAAAAATATCAAAAAGTTCCTAAAATACTAACTTACAATCTCACGCCAGGAATTTTGTGGAAGGGTGTTCTGGAACCTCGTACGCATGTGTGTACCTTAAAATCTCAAAAGAAATCAGTGCCTATCTTTGGCAAAGCCGGAGACATTCGACATTAGATTTCACTGGTTACCTGATTGACGTATTCTCTATTCATATCATAATACGTGTATCCCTTTTCCTTGAGAAAGTCTTCAGGAGCAGAAAATCTGTCTTCATCAAGCAACTCGCATCGATTTTCCCTTATTTGGTACGCTTGGCATTTACATTTCTCCTGAAAGCATTTTACATGACAGTCATACGGTTTCGACAGCGTGTAATTTCTAAAGCTGTGTCCTTGCATAGCCAGATTTTTCATTCCCTTTTTACCAATACTTCCTCTGCTTTGTTCGCATCCTCTCTGACAGTCTGCGGCTAATTTCAAACTGCAGATATCAAGAAATATCGAAACGAAAAGGAAATAGTTCGCCAGTGTCATGGTTTTTAACTTAAAATATGACTGAACTGACTATTCTTCCGAGAGCTAAAATTTCCTATCAAATAAACAATCAGTTTAAAGTTAAAGAACGTTTTTGAAAGTGAAACCTGACAAACCCGTAAGAACGTCGGCGTGGGAGCCTAACATTTACCCAGCTTAGTGACCGTCTGTTTCAACAAATCAGTTAACTCCGCGTTTGTTTGTCATTTCTCCCTTTCGATTTTCCTGTGACAGGGATTCGAGGATACGGCATCATCCTCAAGCGTTTTAGATTATTTTTCAGCTTGCATTTTATGCTTCTGCAGTCACCGTTACCGCAAGTAATTAAAAACGCACCCAGATATTAATTTGTATGAGATATGCCAAATGTAATTAGCGAAATGTCAATTTTGTTCACGCTGATGAAATATTTGTCTGCTAACAACCAACAGCAGAACTTCAACCATTGCCTTACTTCTCCTGTCGCTAGATAAATTTGACGTATGCCTTATAAATTTTGTGAAGCCATATTTCTCTCTTGGTTTAAGTTTAATAATACTTTGTCATGCTAATACAAGTACACAATAAATAATATTACAAAAAATAGAAAAGGTGCATGACTGGAGAATAAAGAGACTGACTGCAAAGAATATTCTTTAATATTAAACATACTGAACATTAAGAAGTAAAATTTAAATGTGGCCCAAAGCTAACCTAATTAAATTGCATACTAAAATTGACACTAAAACTAAGAAGTAAAATTTAAATACGGCCCAAAACTAACCTAATTAAATTGCATTGTCACTCACGAGTTACACCAGATTTAAAATTGACACAAATGATCCAATAGATAGTAATTAAAACTGCTTAATGAAGGTGCGTGCATAACGTTCGATGGAATACTATTCCAGTCCGTTATATAGCGATTGAAAAATGAAAATTTAAAGTAATTTGTACGTGTCTTCTTGGGTCTCATCTTAAAATTATGGTTCCTACGCGTTTTCGCTAATACATTAAAATTAAATAAAACATATGAAGATCTATGTCAAAGTGTCCGAAGATAATCTTGTACATCTGCACTAAGCAGATAAACTTCCTTCGTAACTCAAGCGAAGGCCATTTCAGGACCCCAAGTCTCTCCTGATATTCTTTCTCTGATCCGCAAATGACTCGAGTGGCTCGCCTCTGTATTGACTCTATACTTTTGATGTGCTTCACTAAATACGGATTCCAGACCTGACAGCCATATTCCAAAATTGGACGCACAAAGGTCTTATATGCTGTCGAGACTCTTTCAGAATTGTTTCGACCAAAGGTTCGCCCTATCAAACCTAGAACCTTATTAGCTTTAGCACAGATATAGTTTATATGGTAATCCCAAGACAGGGAAGACTCTAGTCAGACACCAAGGTGCTTGTGGTGATCTACTGCTGATAAGGGTTGGTCAGACAACCAGTACTCATGATGATATGGATCCTTGCATCTCGGTAGGTGTAGGACCTTGGACTTTTCGGACTTGAGAGTAACAAGCCAGGAGTTACATCAGTCATAGGCAGTTTGAAGATCTTCACAATCCGACTCTGAAGTAATGTTTCCGATGAAGAATACTGTCTTCAGCAAAGAGTCCACAGTTACACTTAACTGCTAAAGGAAAGTCATTAATATAAACAAGTCACAGTGAACAGCAAGGGTCCCAAAATACTTCCTTGAGGCACGCCAGATATTACCTCAGACCAGCAGGAAGAATGCCATCAATTACTACTCTTTGTCTTCTTGTAGTCAAGAAATCTGAGATCCATTCCAATAATTGACCCTTGATTCCATAAAAATGAAGTTTTAGTAGCAGGTATGGATGGGAGACTTTATCGAAGGCTTTTGCGAAGTCTAGAAAAATTGCATCCACAGAGCCACGCTCATCAAGAATACTAAGCCACTCGTGGACAAACTGGAGCAGCTGAGTTACTCATGAGCGAAGTGGTCTGAAGCCATGTTGATTATCACATAATAACTTATTATAAGAAAGAAAACTCCTTATGTGATTGTGTATAATAAGTTCTAAAGACTTGACAACCACACTAGTTAAGGAAACAGGGCGATAGTTATCAACTGCCGTTTGCTCCCCCGACTTGAAAATTGGAACTACGGTTGCCGTCTTCTAGTCAATAGGTAGTGTGCCACGAGAGAGGGAGTAATTAAAGAGCCTCATCAAAGATGGAGCTAGTTCCATGTAACATTCTTTGAGCAACGGCGGGGAAACCCCATCTAGTCGACACACTTTATTTACATTTAAGGATTTCAGTACTTTAGCCACTTCACTTGGTCTATAAATCAGATCATTTATAAGTATGTACAGGCAAAACAGTTGAATAATCACATCCACGTCCTGGTATGGAAGACAGATTTTCAACAAGAAAGCACGATTAGTTAAATGGCAGTTAACGAAATACATTAGCTGCCTTAGCTAATTGGCAATTCTTCAATAATTCAATTACAGTGGAACCCCGTTAATACGGTCACCTGGCCAGTGGGCACAGGTAACCCAGGCTCGAAATATGAGCATCGGCAAACATTGGCATTGTTGCGTAACATTTGAAATATAAGGATTTGTATGGGGAAAAAACCTATCGTTTCTGTAACCTACGAAAATGAAACGAATTCAATAAAAAACAGCTTAACCTACTTAAAATGTGTGTTACTTCTCTCCTGTGTGGTCCACACGGGCCCATTTATGGCCGTTTTATGGGTTTTTATGTAAACGTGACGGCCAATGGAAGTAGTCAGCAATTACCGCAGACCACTCATTCCAGGAAGCAACAAAACAGAGAGCTTAAAAATGGAGTAAAGCTTGAAGAACATCCACACGATGACTCGTGACAAACACTATAGAGAAATCATGGTTTTCCCAAATTCATGTTAACTGATACAGCTTTGTTAATACGGCGGCAACCCCACCCCACTGGTCGGCACTATAAATAAATGAAACAATTTCAAATGCGCGCGCACCGGACTTTCTTCAGTATTCTCTCCCCATGACCCCATGTTGCTTTTTTAAAGCTATTTTTTCAATGAACAAGTCTTTATATTTTTACTTCACAATTCAGTCAACACACCTTGTTCAAGTAGTGTTTTCAATGAAACATTGTTGTATGGAAAATTTATGAGAATTTAAACACGAATTAAGCAATTCAAATGTCTCTGCCCAACTGTAATAATTATAACTACTAAGATTTCCGTGAACTCAGTCTTGATGGTAAGTCGTTACTACAAGAACTGGAAGATTAAGGAAAATGTAAATACCAACAATGTAAGCAATATTTGCCGCAATATTTGTAGCTGTCGATGATATATATGAACGTAAGGTGGATTCTTCAAGATTTCCTGTCGTCGGATATCATGTTGATGTCGACGAACAATGCCCACAATTCTAAATTGAAATACGCCAGAGATTAACAAACACAACAGCCACAGAGTCACATGTATTGCTCGTACCGATCTGTTGATCTCAGCAAACTGCAGGCAAGTCATGAAAGTGTTCAAGATCCAAATTAAGGCAGCTACCACTATAACACGGCGTTTGGTAACTTGTGCTTTGTAGCGTAGATGGAGTGTTAGTGCGCGATGAACCTTTCATAACTTATGGCGTTCAAAGTTGGAAACGAAACTCCATAGCATAAATAGAAAGTCGTCAAGCAGGTCATTCTCAAAGCTCAGGGAACAAACCCTTCGTGATTTTCATGGAGTCTGGATGCAATATAACTGGGTTGAACTTTTACACCAACCAGCATTGCGCTAACAGCCGGGCAAGCCTGGAGAAGATTAGACGGATCACGAAACCAGGGTGTAGGATTAATGATAGAAAGAACAGCGACATGTCCCACGATAAGCGCTAACGGTGAAAAAATGGCGTTTACTACGCTTCTTACAAAACTGATTTTGTAACGATGATCGAAACCAGGGTTTAAAATTAAAAAAAACACTGCTCCGTAGAATTTAATCTCATTGCCGCTAGAATTAAATCATCGAAATAAAGATTGCCAATCGTGTTCTTTGTAGTAACTCAGTACCGCTGAAAAGATGTTAAGAAATTACAAAGTTGTCGTTTTATTTTGATCAAGGGTTAAATTAAACACTACAGCAGAAATCAAACAAATGGATTGTTAAGAACATTTTGCGAATTTCGATTTTATAACAATTCGAAATTTAAATTTTTACCTTCGTTTCAACCTATTAAATCGTTGAATAAAGTATTGCTTTAATTGGTGCTAAATTACACGATCGAAAACTGTTTCATCGTTGCATTTTATGGAGATGCCTAGGCCTATCTCAAGGTATGTTTTCCATTTAATATTATTTTCAAAGCTAGACAAAATCTGAAGATTCTCTCCAAAGGAATTTAATCGTGATATGTACAATGATGTCTCAAACAAACATTGCTCTTGAGGCTTTTCTTAATCTACAAAATTTCTTACAAAAATGCTATCAGGATTGAATTCAACAGCTTTCTACAAGCAGATGGCCGCGATGTTAGACTCTAGTAACACGCATAATCGATCGCGCTGTAGAGAGTGCTTAAAAATTTGCGTTGAAGGATTATTTTGTGCCTTGAACTGGGTTGTTTTGCAAGAATGTATCCTGACTGTTGAAATATCGACACATTTTTTCCTATTTATGATGCTAAGTGTATTTAGTTTTACACGTAATTTCATTCAGTCCGCACTGTTTCTGCCTTTACTACTTACTTCTACTTTCACGTAAAATCATAAAAACCTAGATTGTTATTTTTTCAGTATTTGAATCAAACTCCCCTTGGATTTGAGAAGCTTGCACGCAAATGTGATTATATCTGAATTGGAAGCTCTCTCGGCAGTTAGTAAACTAAGTGTTGAATATATTTTTTTCTGCTTGCTTTGACCATAACTGCATGTTAAGAGATGATCTTTCACCGAACTAAGATTTTGTCAGTTCATTTTATCAGTGCTAGATCCAGGGGAGGGCCCCCCTTACTTTAAGACAAAATGAAACTGAGGCCCGCAAAGGCCGAAATGCAATTTCGATGCAATGCAATGCAATGCAATTTCGTCTCGTTTATCTTCTATTTGATGAAACTGTCACACAGAGCTTTTTAAACTGTCACCTTCCTGAATTGAAGGAGAGAAAGAGAGGATAAGGGGGACAGAGAAGACATCCCCCATACACACCCTATTCCATAGGTAATTCGTCTCGAGTTATTTTTAAGACTACAGATCCCAAGGGGGATTAGACAACAGCCAATCACATAGCGCGAATGTGTTCCGCGTGGATGACCCACGACCAGAGCCACGCGTCCTTCACGAATTGAGGCAGAAAAAAATGGCGGAAGAAGCGGAGAGCAATATTGCTATTCGTTTTGTCGACGAAAACGACTAAGGAGAGATTTCTGCTAAAGCTGTGTCAGCGAAAGGGAAATTAAAAACGAATCGCCCTTCCTCTCTTGTATAGAGCTAACAGTACAGCAGGGAAATCCTTAACACAGTGAATATTCTCTCAGGATCATTTATAATTTACAATTTGAAGAGAGCAATTTCTGGTTTGGTATTTATTCTTTTATTAGTCTTTTATTATTCAACAAAAATAACACCTGGTGTCCTATAATAATAATAATAATTTAATAACTTCAAGAGCGCTATTTACATTCACTGATCAACAGCGCTTAACAACTTAAAAAAACTACAATAAAATTCAAATTTGTAAAACTAATTACTTGTACATGAATATTACTTGCTTCCTGCCTTATTGTACAAACGACCGGTTTCAATAGACCGGCGAAATTTCTCATTTTATTAAAGCACTGAGGTTACGATAACTTCGAGTTAAACTGATTTTCACGGGTTGACAAAGAGTCGAGCGATTCCCTTTTCTCAGGTGAGCTCCGACTCATTTCGCTTCAATATTCAGAAATGCTCTCGATCTCTTTACGCTTTCATTGCCTTTCGCCCTCCTCGATCTCCAAAATTCTTCATAAGATGCTCAGCCTCATTCATTAATTGTTAATTATGGAGATCTCGGAGGGTGTTATCCGTCGAGGCCGTAGGCCGAGGCGGATAACACCCTCCGAGATCTCCATAATTCTTCATATGATACGAAAGCCGAATTCAATAATTGTTTTATTATTCATTCAAAATAATTCCTAGTTTAAAATCAAAGCTAAAACATGTTTACCTCCATCGATGATAAGTTCACCTTCGATAGTGCACGTTTAGGAATGTTCAGCTTCACAAATATTCTCCAGATGGCAGATGTCGCCCTCTTAGTTGTGTTCTTGCTGTTCTTGCCATGTTTTAAGCTATTTTTTCGCCTACTTCTTACTCTTAAAACGAGTGAAATGTCCGCCATTTTTTCAAGTTCACAACCAAAACAACTCAACCTCGTCCCCAGGTCTTATCGGTTAACGGTGCCTTAACCTACGAAAACGCTGCATTTTTGACGTCATTTCCACGTTAAAGTCAAAATTTTTCCAAATTTGGTCATCAGTAACTGGTTATGGTGAATTAAACGTGTACTTTTAGCCAATCGGGGGAATATTTGGAATGAATAACAATTCTTCATAAGATACTCAGCCTCATTCATTAACTGTTAAATATAAAAATTACAAATTGATGCTGATTTAAATGTAATAGAGACATGAAGCAACGCCTACCTCGTACCCAGACGTCTCTCTTTAAAACGTGCGCGCAAAGGAAGGCCGGAAGGAGACAAGTGTACCCTTCCCATGGTCCCTTGCGGTTCATCACCAGTTACTCCTTTCGCGCTCGCCCCTGGCTCTCTGCCATGCGGAAAACGAAGCGCCTGAGGAGGAGGCTGAAGCAACGCGTTTACGGCAATTTTACCACGTGACAAAGTTTCCATTTACTTATCGTTTACTGTTCATTAAGATTTACGCTAGTTCTATCCATAGAAATTGTTTTAAGCTGTTTTTATCTGCTCATTTCTCATTTTGCAAATCTCTAAACAACTTGAATCTCACGTTTGCCGTTTGGAATCGCATTGCGCCATATTATTGTTAATACAGGACAAAAAAACCTTTATACTTTTCAATTTGTTTTGAAGCAGCAAATTGTTTAATCTAAATAAAACTCAGACAGAAAAATTAATCCTATTTTTAGGGTTCAGCATTTGCTTGACCATTTCCATGGCAACGTGTTGGACTAACGGTAATTTGACGTTAATGCTTTTAATTATTATCACACTTGTTTACATTTTAATCAGCGTCTAATAGACTTTATGACAGCCGAGTCGGACACCAGCTTTACAGCCACAATTGTTCTGTTTGCAACCGTTTAAAACATTCATCTTTGAACATCGAGTTTCTGTCTTTAGAGGATTCACAATACAAGGGTAAAATAAACATTTCTTTTGAATATGGACATTTTAGGCACAGAAGTACAAATTATATGTCTTGTTCATTAATATAACGCTGACATATTTTGATAGACTGATTGCAATCTTAATTGCTTCCAAGTTTTGAGTGTTTGAGCACAGAAAGTGCGACTTATAATTATTAAACACTGTATTAAACCACCTGACCATATATTTTAGTGTCCAGTATGCAAAGTGAGTGGGACTTGCATTTGAACCAGCGCCAGGCTTAAATGAAATGGACTACTTCAGTACTACTACAACGGCTACTTTAACGGTGTCTCCACTGAGTAACTCTTGCTTTCATCTTCCAGACGCAGAATTTGATAAAATTGAGCAACGGAGAACAAGCAATCTACTGACAGGTATAATTAATGCGGTTTTATCGCCTTTCGCCGTTACAGCAAACTTCTTCATCGTGTTCCTCATTTTGAGAAAATACTCTTTACAAACGCCCTCCAATCTGCTGCTTACTTGCTTGGCCATTTCTGATTTACTTGTTGGTCTGATAGTTCAACCAAGCTTCGTTATTTTCGGGATTCTTGAGAACACATATGGCTTTGTTCCCTGTGTTGTGAGGATGATATACCGGATGGGATTTTTCATATGCTACGGAGTATCATTTATGACATTGTGCGCCATAAGCTGCGAAAGGTTATTAACGTTGCTGTATTCTTTTCGTTTTCAAGAATTTGTTCGACGCGAGCGCGTTTCAAAAACAGCCGTTTTCATTTGGCTTGTCAACTTATTATTCACGTGTCTCCAGTGGGCTTATAATCATATCTTCGTAGGTTTTCATCTGTGTTTGTGGCTGGCTTCTCTTGTCATAGCAGTTTTAGCTCAGTGTAAAATTCTCCTCATAAGTCTTCGCCACCAACGTCAAATCAAACGACATAACCCAGGAACCTCTTCCCCAAGGCAAATGCAAATCAAGCTCGCAATTAATCTTACGTCCATAGTTGCAATTTATTTTGCCTTGAATTTACCTGTTCTTATTGTCACCAAAGTACATCAAATCATTTCCGGATATATTGAAAACTACAACTATTATAGTTGGGCCGAAACTGCGGCTTTCTTAAATTCCTCTGTTAATCCGCTCGTTTGTACTTGGCGAGTTAAAGCAATCAGAAAGACCATCTGAGATATTTTTGTGAAGAAAAGGAAACGTAGAGGAAGGAAGAGAACAACTCTCGGCGAAGCTGCAGAGAATAATAACGTATTTTTGGTGAGGTTCAGGGAAATGACAATGCTATAAAGGGGATTATAAGTGAAGAAATACAAGCGGAACAAGATATAGAATAAGGGAAGAACTGTGTTTCGTTCAAAACAAGCTTAAGATTTGACATTGCTGGGATAAACAATTATTTTCGATAACGAATGGGGTAATAAGCGTCTTCCGACTTCCTATCTTAAACTGAATTTAACAACAATAGACTGGGACAACTTTTGGTAAAAAGCCGCTAATAACACTTCTGTCGGCAAACTCGAGGAAAAGTAGTTAAATGCTTTTTTGTAGATGAAAATTATGTGCTGAACACGAAAATTTATTTATCAAGCTTGATTTGGAGTTTTTAACTACAAAATCTGACCTCACAAAAATTGAGCTTATTTCTGGACATGGAAACGAGGCTAAAATTTTTCCCGCTTTCCAAAACCACATTTGACTCAAATTATTGCCCCAAATTAGCTAACTATAAGTTTTCTTGTTATGACATAAACTAATAGACGGTTGAAGCCTGAAAAAAAAGTTATTTGGAAATCCAGAGACCGGCTAGTGAAAGAAGTTGACAAGTGTGTTTGTCGCATAACAATTTAAAGAAAAAATGTTCTTTTGAATAGAACCAGTTTTGATTAAGGATGAACTACGCCGAACAAATTGAATGATTTTGTTCCTTTTATGCTACCGGTAACTCCTACTATTTTGTAGTAATTGTCATGGGGGGCATGGGGGCGTTTATTAAAGGGGACGTTTGTTAGAGAGGGGTGTCTGATGCAAAGTTAACTTTGCGAGTAGCGGAGGCGTTTATTAGATATTAGTAAAATCCATCTAGTGGTCTATTATCAATGCTGCGTTCTGATTGCTTAAGCTACTACAAAGTTATATATTATAGCCCACTAGTAGCGAAAAACGCCGGCTTTTGGCGGCAAAAAAGGATTTAAGTTTAAATTTAACGAGCTAAAGTTGTTTTGTCTCGATATTTTTCACCAGCTAGTTGGATTTTGCTAAAACAATTTGTCCTCTCGCCCTCATGGCCTCTGAGTCAATAATTTTAAACTTAAAACAGTAAACTGATCCTTACGGCAGGAAGAGTGATAGAAAAAAATATCGAAAGAGAACAAAAATAAAGTGGTGAATTATATTTGCCTGATATTTCGGTTTGCAACACAAATCTTCAACGGGGGCTATAAAAGAAAAATGAGATACAGATAAAAGAAGAACGTTACTTATGCGAGATTTGAATACATAGCAAACAGAAAATGATAGGCTACCACAAAGATACATGTCACAAATTGAGTTCATCACGGTCTCCTATTTATCCCATGAGGTTCTAAAGTCATAGCTTTGTCAATGAGGTGAGCCTCGCGTGCCTTTGAGTCAATAGCCTCAATAGGCTTTGAGTCAATAGCCCATTCGGACTTCGGCCTCATAGACCATTGATTCAGGGCTCCAGGAATAATTGTTAAAGAGAAGTTTATGTGAAAGAGGGCGTCTATTAGATCATTTAAGGTATGCCACTTCTCTTAGTCCCTTTTCTTGGAGCAATAAAGAACAGAGAGGAGAAGTCGTTACGTCACGTTGCCATGGTAGCAAAATTTCTGGATGACATCAAACCGGAAACATCACTTAAAGAAGCTGAAGCTGATCAAGGTCTGAGCTTACACCTTTATAGCTAGTGTCTACAAAGCAGCTGCACGCTTACAGGAAACTTAAGTTTCGTTCTGTAGACTCTTGTTTTCAGGTCAGCTTCCCTTCATTAAAAATTAAAACATAAATTAGATAAAATCTACTTTTAAAATTCTAATATAGAAATAATGATTTTGAGAAATATAAACATATGTAAAGACTAACGAGACAGTCTAATGATCCTTGATAATGACGTCATGATAATGCCCAAACGTCGGAACATTATCTCATTTGTTTTTACGTGTTTACTTTTAAAATTGTATGTTATTTAGCTTACGTTGGATTGCCACTTTTCCTCACCGTCAGCAAAAAGAACAACAACAACAAACAAACAAGTAAAAAATGGAGGAAATAACAGAAAAGTATAAAAATTTAAATGCAAAATCAAAATAATACATCGGATAGGGTCAGCTGTTTACCAAATTTTTTGAAAATGAGGATGATGAGATTAAGAATTTAACACGTACTTTTTTAAGAGCTTTTAAAAAAACGAGCAGGAGTCTATTTGCCTTGAGTTGTTAAGCCTGATATTACACGACTGAGAGTTTTTTTGAACGACTTTACAATCTCTGATATAGATAAACTCATTCTGGCACTTATATTTAGATTTGGGGTTATTCTGGTCTAAAAAACTAGGCGTAAAGTTTAGCCTTGTCTTTGTCTTTAAATGCGCCTTGACATAGATTTATGAGATACGCTTTCTTATTTCTGTTTCTGTCTAGCGAGATGTCAATGATGTTGATTTTAATTCATGCTAAAGGAGAATGCGTTTGCCAAACTCAAAACAGAGGAAAATTTTCCAATATAATGATCCATCTGTCGCGAGAGATATTTCATATTACTAAGATCCGACTAGTGGTCTATTATCAATGCTGCGTTCTGATTGATTGAGCTACTACTTGGCTATATGTTATAGCCCCCTAGTGGCGAAAAGCGCGGGCTTTTTGGCGGCAAAAAAGGATTAGAGTCTAGCTTTTAACTAGCTAAAATTTTTTATTCTCGATATTTTTTATCAACTAGTTGGATTTTACTAAAACAATTATTCCTCTCGCCCTCATGGGCTATTGACTCAGAGCCCATTCGGGCTCGAGGAATAATTGTTAGTTATTTGTTAAAACAAATCTGCCGAAAGACGTCATTTTTTTAAAGCTATTCCATGAGAGATTTACAAATAAATATGTAGATGGAAGCCCAAAGTGGTGAATACACGAGTGGCAGCAACGAAACTCGCCTAATCAGGATCAACAAATGAGGATTTAAGGCTTCTGGCGTTGCACTGCAGGCAGGAGCTCAGCAAATGCCAGTATGGAATCATGCACATTGCACAAGTCAGGTAGGTTCAAGGCGGTTCCTGCTGCTGCATTTGGGAACTGTCAGTTCACATTTAAGATAATGGTAATTAGGTTAATAAAACATTATAAATTACTATACATTCGAAATATTTCTCCGTTTCTTATTGGCTAAAATCCCACGCTTAATTCATCATAATCAGCTACTGTGGACCGAATTTGGAAGAAAGTCGAGATATGTTAAAAATGACGTCAATTGTGCAGCAAATTGCCAGATTTTTGAACAGTTAACCGAGAAGATCGGGGGACAAGGTTGAGTTGCTTTGGTAGTGAGTACAGAATGGCGGGCAATTACACTCGTTTCACGATGAAGAAATAAGCAAACTATTGGCTAAAAACATGGCAAGAACAACAGGAAGACAATATTTGTGAATATATTTATATGGAGAACTGATTTGCAATACTGAACAACCATATATCTCATAAACTTGTCGATAAAGAAGAAATTGAAGATGACCAACTTCTATGGAGGTAGGCATGTTTTAGCTTGTTTTTTGAACAATATTTATTACAACATTTGCTCTGAGAGCCTTAAGGGGTCATCTAAAGAGCTTACGCTGTTTACATTGAACTTTCAAAAGGCACAAATACACGTCACGATCGTTTTTAAACTAGAAATTATTTTGAATTAATAATTAAACAATTATTGAATTAGGGTTTCGTCTCATCTGAAGAATTATGGAGATCTCGGAGGGTGTTATCCGCCTTGTCCTCCTCCTCGACCAGCATAATTCTTCGGATGGTACTCAGCCTCATAAAATAATTGTTAATTATGTGCAAAGAATTACTGACTTACACTAGAGAGCCTAGTGACGCCGAACTCCAAGCCACCACTGTGTTGTTGAATCATCACTAGATGTACATCTGTGAACCCGATTGACTGTTTCATACCATCCGAAGTTATCCTCCCCTCTGCGTGCATTCACTGCACCTGTGGATTGGCTGGTAAACTGACACCCCATCTTTGGACCCCAAAACGAATCAGTATGCGCATGCCAATAATCTCTTTGGACGAACTGAGCCGTACAGTTGCTACAGTTATATCCTCGGATGCTAATAAATTCGTATTTTTTACATCCGTCGAAATTCAAGCGTATAACGTCGATATCATTCAACTTGGCCCTTAAGTAATCTCTGTATTTAAGGCCTTCAGTGTTAAAGTTGCACGTTGCTCGCAAGTGCGTTGAACGGTTTGCTGTGGCTGTCATACGTGGCAAAGACAGACGAAACTTGCCCCATGTAAAAGCTTCCTGATTTTTTGGATAGTCTTTGTAAAATGCTTTGTCCTTAAATTCATGATTGTTACGAAGGCTGAAAGATTCGATCAAAGTCCAAATGAACCCTTTTTCAGAGACAGCATCACAGAAGACTTCGTATACGGTCATATTCGTTGGGTCAAATAGTTGATACACTCCGGACTTGCTCCCTTTGTTTTTCCGTAGTTGCTCTTTGCAAGACGTTGCTCTTCTTTTCTGACAAAATCTGCCGTAATATCCCACTGCGCATGTACAGTTGAACTTATTTTTAGCGTCTTCACATGACTCAGTACAGGTGCCTCCATGGACGCATGGAATCTGATCACAGCACTGGTTGATGCATGGTTTCTCTTTTTCAGCCTTGTTCACAAATGTCTATCGTACAACGGGAGAGTATGTTAAAAGTGCATGTAGGAATAATCTTTATATATTATTATATAGACACGAGTGTTTTACTGGAAAATATACCACTCGTAAAATTCACAAAAACTACATCCGGGACCCGAGTGGTTTATTTTCCATAATCTCACACGTAAGTTTATCGTTGACGTAATTTCCGTCATTTCCCTCTATTATTTTATCGATGTCTTTTTGTCTATATAATAAAAGAACATTAAACGGTGGCTTGAAGATATGAATTTTCTTTTCTCGTGGAAAAAGCAATATTTTACTCACTCGGTGCGCTCGTTCGTAAAAGATTGTTTTGCCACTCGAAAATAAAATTCATATCTTCGCGCCACCATGTAATATCCTCTATTTATTATTTGCAAGACCCTCTCTTTTTTACAATGTGCTTTAAAAGATATTTCCTTCTTATGAATTTTGGTGAAAGCTCCGCTTTTAGGTTTGCCCAACTTCATACAAATGCCGAAATATATACTCTGTTGAATCAACTACCTTGCTTTATAAACTGTCATTAATTTGGGAATGTTTTTGTAAAGAGCTCGGCGCGCAGAGAGTTAAGCACAAGAAAAATCCAGAAAGCTATTTTTTCCTCCACATTGTTGTGTTTTTGTGAGTTACAGATATTGTTCATCCATCCAATATTTTTAGGATTCGAACAATCTGCACCATGAGGGGAAGTGTACCCAAAAGTTCTTAATTTCAAGAGGGACATAAAGGGGTCCCTCAAGAAAAGAGGGTGCTGAAAATTAAGGAACAAGATTTTGAAGTACCACATCCTTAAAAAGCAACACGAGATTTGAAAACTGAAAAGCATTTTAACCTCCTTTTCAAAACTTCAACCTTCCAAAATAGTGCATTTCTATCTAAAGATTGGAACCTGTTTTATAAACATGACGAGGTAATAATGAATAAAGCCGAAATGCAATCATTATAGTCCTCTGATTAAGTATAATCTCGACAGTCTCTCTGTCTATCTTATAATAAAAATCTTTATTAACATGTGACGAATTTACATTCCACTATCATAGACTAAAATTTAAATAAAAATATTACTTGGAGTAATCGGAACTGATCGCTGCGATCGCTGAAGTTTTTTTTCTTAGCGATCGCAGCGATCACAGCGATGGTAGCGATCATGTTTCCCTGCTAGCAGAGGTCTCTCAAGACGAGGCAAAAATGAGAGAAAGGAGAGAGACCTCTGCCGGCTTCCGACGCCTTTCCTATCACGCATGCGCTGGCGTTTCCTTAACAACCAGTGACGTTTTTCTCACGTGCGACACAACCCACAGAACCGGTTTGCCCGCGAAACTTCAGCTGAAGGCGGGGGTATATGTTGTGGAGAATTCTTCGCAACGTGAAACGATGCCGAGAACTCCACAGTCTCGCAAATTTGGGGAAAGCGCGTCGCCTCGGACGCCCATTAAACCAGTTGGGTCTGGAAAAGACGTTAGATGCCTTTTGTGTGGTTTAGATTTTAAAGGTGAAAGGTGTTGACAGGCCAAACACGACTAATAAGCTCGTGATAGTGTGATACGTGACCTTATAGTTTTGCTCTAACGAGGATATCTCCCAGCGATTTTGCTCTTTTATTATTCTATTATTATTATTATTATTATTATTATTCTATTATTAGGAAACCAAGTAAGACTTTTCTTTGTAGGGAAGTTATTTCTTTTATAAATACGTTTGTCGCCAAGCTTAGAAAGGGATGATTTTATGGCTTGATCAAAGTGAGAAATTTGGAAACTCGCGGATCTCATGGAAGCCATAATTCACTGTGGGCTCAATAATTGTCAGCGTACAGTTTAACAAGGCAAGCGCATTACACATTAAACGTAACCGGTTTTAAAAACCGGTAAGTTTCGACCAGAAATCTGGTCGGCGGCTTCATCAAACAACGCGTCGGAAGCCGGCAGAGGTCTCTCTCCTTTCTCTCACTGTTGCCTCGTCGTGAGAGACCTCTGCTAGCAGGGAACGATCATGTGGAAACCGGGCTTTAATTTGATTATACCAGATTTTAAACGTAAGGATTGTTTACAGCGAAACCTATATTTAAACTGTGTATCATTATGAAAAAACCTTGAAGGCTAGTGATATCGTATGGTCCGTCTCAATAAGTGCAGTAGCTTGGTCGAGTATGTTGATTTCAGTGACTTGAGTGGAGCTACTGTGGGCTGTTTATAAGTTTTTCGGAATAAATAACATAGGCCTAAAATGTTCCTTTGTCCGGTGCCGAAAATATCACAAGTCATGATCAAATGGCGCCGCCGAGCTTCGCATCCCGGGAGATTTACTTTGTGGCACAACGGCCGCCGAGCTACACAACTCGGCAGATTTACTTTGTGGCACAAACGACCGCCGAAACTTTTGAAAGATAAACGTTTTGAAAGATTCAGCAAACACAGATCGATAGTAGACATTCAGCAAACTCTTCTCAAACTCATTAATAATTCATTAAGAAAATATAAAGGAAATTAATGTTTAATGAGTGTTTGGAAATCGGATGAAACACTGCTTAGTATTTGCATCCTTAATTTCTCCTTCAAAAATGATTTTGTTTGAGAAGAAATATCAAACATTCGACACAGTGTTTCTTCACCGGATGAAACACCTCGAAGTTCGTCAAAAATACTCCGCTGCGCGTCGTATTTTCAACTCTCTTCTCGGTGTTTCATCTGGTGATGAAACACTGCATCTCATGTTTGATATATTACTTGAAATATGTACGCTTTACGAAGATTCAGCAAACTTTTGAAAGATGAACGCTTTACGAAGACAGAATAAAAGAAGGACGCACGAATCACCACGTGAGTTAGTTCGTCAAAGTGAGGCAAGACGTAAGCAAGCGCCTCAAAGCGAGGCAAATGAGTGTCGACGACTACGACAAACGCAATCTCGAAAAAACTTCTCTTATTAATTGCAGAGGGCACTCAATAATGCACAGAACACCCAACACAAATTAGGGGTTGCGTTGTCGTTACTCGAACGCAAAAAGACTAAAACACTAATTTACAAGGTCACGCCATTATCGACTTTCTAAAATTAGCGCACACACGCTTAGCTAGCTTTAATTTTAAGCGGCAGTCATGATATGACCAATATACATTCCTCTATCATAGACTAAAATTTCGATGAAACAAAAATATCAAAAAGTTCCTAAAATACTAACTTACAATCTCACGCCAGGAATTTTGTGGAAGGGTGTTCTGGAACCTCGTACGCATGTGTGTACCTTAAAATCTCAAAAGAAATCAATGCCTATCTTTGGCAAAGCCGGAGACATTCGACATTAGATTTCACTGGTTACCTGATTGACGTATTCTCTATTCATATCATAATACGTGTATCCTTTTTCCTTGAGAAAGTCTTCAGGAGCAGAAAATCTGTCTTCATCAAGCAACTCGCATCGATTTTCCCTTATTTGGTACGCTTGGCATTTACATTTCTCCTCAAAGCATTTTACATGACAGTCATACGGTTTCGACAGCGTGTAATTTCTAAAGCTGTGTCCTTGCATAGCCAGATTTTTCATTCCCGTTTTACCAATACTTCCTCTGCTTTGTTCGCATCCTCTCTGACAGTCTGCGGCTAATTTCAAACTGCAGATATCAAGAAATATCGAAACGAAAAGGAAATAGTTCGCCAGTGTCATGGTTTTTAACTTAAAATATGACTGAACTGAGTATTCTTCCGAGAGCTAAAATTTCCTATCAAATAAACAATCAGTTTAAAGTTAAAGAACGTTTTTGAAAGTGAAACCTGACAAACCCGTAAGAACGTCGGCGTGGGAGCCTAACATTTACCCAGCTTAGTGACCGTCTGTTTCAACAAATCAGTTAACTCAGCGTTTGTTTGTCATTTCTCCCTTTCGGTTTTCCTGTGACAGGGATTCGAGGATACGGCATCATCCTCAAGCGTTTTAGATTATTTTTCAGCTTGCATTTTATGCTTCTTCAGTCACCGTTACCGCAAGTAATTAAAAACGCACCCAGATATTAATTTGTATGAGATATGCCAAATATAGTTAGCGAATGTTGAGCGAAATGTCAATTTTGTTCACGCTGATGAAATATTTGTCTGCTAACAACCAACAGCAGAACTTCAACCATTGCCTTACTTCTCCTGTCGCTGGATAAATTTGACGTATGCCTTATAAATTTTGTAAAGCCATATTTCTCTCTTGGTTTAAGTTTAATAATACTTTGTCATGCTAATACAAGTACACAATAAATAATATTACAAAAAATAGAAAAAGTGCATGACTGGAGAATAAAGAGACTGACTGCAAAGAATATTCTCCAATATTAAACATACTGAACATTAAGAAGTAAAATTTAAATGTGGCCCAAAGCTAACCTAATTAAATTGCATACTAAAATTGACACTAAAACTAAGAAGTAAAATTTAAATACGGCCCCAAACTAACCTAATTAAATTGCATTGTCACTCACGAGTTACACCTGATTTAAAATTGACACAAATGATCCAATAGATAGGACTTAAAACTGCTTAATGAAGGTGCGTGCATAACGTCCGATGGAATACTATTCCACTCCGTTATATAGCGATTGAAAAATGAAAATTTTAAGTAATTTGTACGTGTCTTCTTGGGTCTCATCTTAAAATTATGGTTCCTACGCGTTTTCGCTAATACATTAAAATAAAAAAAAAAACATATGAAGATCTATGTCAAAGTGTCCGAAGATAATCTTGTACATCTGCACTAAGCAGATAAACTTCCTTCGTAACTCAAGCGAAGGCCATTTCAGGACCCCAAGTCTCTCCTGATATTCTTTCTCTGATCCGCAAATGACTCGAGTGGCTCGCCTCTGTATTGACTCTATACTTTTGATGTGCTTCACTAAATACGGATTCCAGACCTGACAGTCATATTCCAAAATTGGACGCACAAAGGTCTTATATGCTGTCGAGACTCTTTCAGAATTGTTTCGACCAAAGGTTCGCCTCATCAAACCTAGAACCTTATTAGCTTTAGCACAGATATAGTTTATATGGTAATCCCAAGACAGGGAAGACTCTAGTCAGACACCAAGGTGCTTGTGGTGATCTACTGCTGATAAGGGTTGGTCAGACAACCAGTACTCATGATGATATGGATCCTTGGATCTCGGTAGCTGTAGGACCTTGGACTTTTCGGACTTCAGAGTAACAAGCCAGGAGTTACATCAGTCATAGGCATTTGGAGGTCAGTTTGAAGATCTTCACAATCCGACTCTGAAGTAATGTTTCCGATGAAGAATACTGTCGTCAGCAAAGAGTCCACAGTTACACTTCACAGCAAGTCACAGTGAACAAGCAAGGGTCACAAAATACTTCCTTGAGACACGCCAGATATTACCTCAGACCAGCCGGAAGTATGGCCATCAATTACTACTCTTTGTCTTCTTGTAGTCAAGAAATCTGAGATCCATTCCAATAATTGACCCTTGATTCCATAATGTTGAAGTTTTAGTAGCAGGTGTGGATGGCAGACTTTATCGAAGGCTTTTGCGAAGTCTAGAAAAATTGCATCCACTCTGGACAAGCTGGAGCAGCTGAGTTACTCATGAGCGAAGTGGTCTGAAGCCATGTTGATTATCACATAATAACTTATTATAAGAAAGAAAACTCCTTATGTGATTGTGTATAATAAGTTCTAAAGACTTGACAACCACACTAGTTAAGGAAACAGGGCGATAGTTATCAACTGCCGTTTGCTCCCCCGACTTGAAAATTGGAACTACGGTTGCCGTCTTCCAGTCAATAGGTAGTGTGCCACGAGAGAGGGAGTAATTAAAGAGCCTCATCAAAGATGGAACTAGTTGCGTGTAACATTCTTTGAGCAACGGCGGGGAAACCCCATCTGGTCCACACACCTTATTTACATTTAAGGATTTCAGTACTTTAGCCACTTCACTTGGTCTGTAAATCAGATCATTAATAAGTATGTACAGGCAAAACAGTTGAATAATCACATCCACGTCCTGGTATGGAAGACAGATTTTCAACAAGAAAGCACGATTAGTTAAATGGCAGTTAACGAAATATTAGCTGCCTTAGCTAATTGGCAATTCTTCAATAATTCAATTACAGTGGAACCCCGTTAATACGGTCACCTGGCCAGTGGGCACAGGTAACCCAGGCTCGAAATATGAGCATCGGCAAACATTGGCATTGTTGCGTAACATTTGAAATATAAGGATTTGTATGGGGAAAAAACCTATCGTTTCTGTAACCTACGAAAATGAAACGAATTCAATAAAAAACAGCTTAACCTACTTAAAATGTGTGTTAAGTCTCTCCTGTGTGGTCCGCGGGCCCATTTATGGCCGTTTTATGGGTTTTTATGTAAACGTGACGACCAATGGAAGTAGTCAGCAATTACCGCAGACCACTCATTCCAGGAAGCAACAAAACAGAGAGCTTAAAAATGGAGTAAAACTTGAAGAACATCCACACGATGACTTGTGACAGACACTATAGAGAAATCATGGTTTTCCCAAATTCATGTTAACTGATACAGCTTTGTTAATACGGGCGGCAACCTCACCCCACTGGTCGGCACTATAAATAAATGAAACAATTTCAAATGCGCGCGCACCGGACTTTCTTCAGTATTCTCTCCCCATGACCCCATGTTGCTTTTTTAAAGCTATTTTTTCAATGAACAAGTCTTTATATTTTTACTTCACAATTCAGTCAACACATCTTGTTCAAGTAGTGTTTTCAATGAAACATTGTTGTATGGAAAATGAACAGTTCTAATACTGTAATATTTCCCTGACAGCTTTTCCACGAAAATAGGTTCTTTGTTTCATCCATTTATCGTTCCCAAATCCTAAATTTCGCTTCTGAATGATTTGGATCCTTTTCTGTTGGTCTACATGTTTGACCATTCGACTTCTTATTTCACCTCCGTTCTTTCTGGCTATCTTAACAATAAGAGCTAATAAGTATGATATACTGAATAAATAAGTAGAGGAAAATCACCCTGGCGCCCTATGGGTGTGATAGCAGAATACACCGAGAACCTTGAATCATTATTATTGTAGTGCCAGCGCTTAAGAAGTGTTTGAAGAATTGATATCACATTCACCAAAATTGCTTTTGGTATTTTTACCGGCCACTCGTACTTAGCCGGCGGCTATAAGTGGTTTTGTTAATTGGAATGGTAACGTACGTCTGGGACCAGCTGCCTTGTTTTGAGTTACATACCAAAAAAAAACAAGACAAAGTACCGGTCGATTTTAGTATCAAAACCTCGTGTTCGTGTTCCTTTCCGAAATTGAAATCAATATTACCAATACAGCCAATACTTAGTGCAGTATGTATCCCTTATTCAACCCTCAATAACTGAAGTTATATGTTGTCTTTCTCAAGCTGAAAATCTATTTTAACTTCGCGATCCAGATTCATATTTAGCCGAGAATTACTCATGGAACCCAAGGTGTGATCTCTTTCACGATCGCTTTTCGTCAGTTTCTTGCTCGCCAGCAGCGTACCAGGGGATTTAAAGACGAATTAAGCAATGCAACTGTCTCTGCTCAGCTGTAATAATTATAACTGCTAAGATTTCGGTGAACTACTTGATAGTAAGTCGTTGCTACAAGAAGTGGAAGATTAAGGAAAATGTAAATACCAACAATGTAAGCAATATTTGCCGCAAGTTTCAGCTGTCGATGATAGATACATGTATCAATGTAAGGTGGATTCTTCAAGATTTCCTGTTGTCGGATATCATTTTGGTGTCGACGAACAATGCCCACAATTCTAAATTGAAATACGCCAGAGATTAACAAACACAACAGCCACAGAGTCATATGTATTGCTCGTACCAATCTGTTGATCCCAGCAAACCGCAGGCAAGTCAGGAAAGTGTTTAAGATCCAAATTAAGGCAGTTACCACTATAACACGGCCTTTGGTAACTTGTGCTTTGTATCGCAGATGGAGTGTCAGTGCAATGAACCTTTCGTAACTTATGGCGTTCAAAGTTGGAAACGAAACTCCATAGCATAAATAGTTAGTCGTCAAGTAGGTCATTCTCAAAGCTCAGGGAACAAACTCTTCGTGATTTTCATGGAGTCTGGATGCAACATTACTGGGTTGAACTATTACACCAACCAGCATTGCGCTCACAGCCGGGCAAGCCTGGAGAAGATTAGACGGATCACGAAACCAGGGTGTAGGATTAATGATAGAAAGAACAGCGACATGTCCCACGATAAGCGCTAACGGTGAAAAAATGGCGTTTACGACGCTTCTTACAAAATTGATTTTGTAGCGATGATCGAAACCAGGGTTTAAAATTAAAAAAAAAACACTGCTCCGTAGAATTTAATCTCATTGCCGCTAGAATTAAATCATCGAAATAAAGATTGCCAATCGTGTTCTTTGTCGTAACTCAGTACCGCTGAAAAGATGTTAAGAAATTACAAAGTTGTCGTTTTATTTTAATCAAGGGTTAAATTAAACACTACAGCAGAAATCAAACAAATGGATTGTTAAGAACATTGTGCGAATTTCGATTTTATAACAATTCGAAATTGAATTTTTTACCTTCGTTTCAACCTATTAAATCGTTGAATAAAGCCTTGCTTTAATTGGTGCTAAATTACACGATCGAAAACTCTTTCATCGTTGCATTTTATGGAGATGCCTAGGCCTATCTCAAGGTATGTTTTCCATTTAATATTATTTTCAAAGCTAGACAAAATCTGAAGATTCTCTCCGAAGTAATTTAATCGTGATATGTACAATGATGTCTCAAACAAACATTGCTCTTGAGGCTTTTCTTAATCTACAAAATTTCTTACAAAAATGGTATCAGGATTGAATTCAACAGCTTTCTACAAGCAGATGGCCGCGAAGTTAGACTCTAGTAACACGCATAATCGATCGCGCTGTAGAGAGTGCTTAAAAATTTGCGTTGAAGGATTATTTTGTGCCTTGAACTGGGTTGTTTTGCAAGAATGTATCCTGACTGTTGAAATATGGACACATTTTTTCCTATTTATGATGCTAAGTGTATTTAGTTTTACACGTAATTTCATTCAGTCCGCACTGTTTCTGCCTTTACTACTTACTTCTACTTTCACGTAAAATCATAAAAACCTAGATTGTTATTTTTTCAGTATTTGAATCAAACTCCCCTTGGATTTGAGAAGCTTGCACGCAAATGTGATTATATCTGAATTGGAAGCTTTCTCGGCAGTTAATAAAATAAGTCTTGAATATATTTCTTACTGTTTGCTTTGACCATAACTGTATGTTAAGAGATGATCTTTCACCGAACTAAGATTTTGTCAGTTCATTTATCAGTAGTATATCCAGGGGAGGGCCCCCCTTACTTTAAGACAACATGAAACTGAGACCGGTTAATTCGTCTCGAAAAGACCACAGATCCCAAGGGGGGAAAAACAGCCAATTTTTGAGACCGGTTTTTGTGGATGTCCCGAAAGAGCCTCGCGTCCTTCAAATTAAAAAAAATCGGAAGACGCCTTCCTATTCGTTTTGTCGATAAAGAGCTAAAGCAGTGTCAGCAAAGGGAAATTAAAAAGAATCGCCCTTCCACTTGTGAATATCCTCTCAGGATCATTTCTCAGGATCATTTGATTTACAGTTTGAAGAGAGCAATTTCTGGTTTGATATTTATTCTTTTATTAGTCTTTTATTATTCAACAAAAATAACACTTGGTGTCCTATAATAATTATTATAATAATAATTTAATAAGTTCTAGAGCGCTATTTACATTCACTGATCAACAGCGCTTAACAACTTAAAAAAACTACAATAAAATTCAAATTTGTAAAACTAATTACTTGTACATGAATATTACTTGCTACTTGCTTTATTGTACAAACGACCGGTTTCAATAGACCGGCGAAATTTCTCATTTCGTTAAAGCACTGAGGTTACGATGACTTCGAGTTAAACTGATTTCACGGGTTGACAAAGAGTCGAGCGATTCCCATTTCTCAGGTGAGCTCCGACTCATTTCGCTTCAATATTCAGAAATGCTCTCGATCTCTTTACACTTTCATTGCCTTTCGCCCGACATGTTTGCATGGCGTTCCTCCACGAAACATCCACGCAGCGCGCGAGGTAACTTTATCCCGATTCTAAAAATAACTCGAGAAGAATTACCTATGGAATAGGTTATATATGGGGGATGCCCTCTCTGTCCCCTTTATCCTCTCTTGAGGAGAGCTAATAGCCATTATTATTCATTCAAAAATATTTCCCCAATTCTGATTGGCTAAAAGCACACGCATAATTCACCATAACCAGTTACTGATGACCAAATTTGGAAGAATTTTGTGTTTAACGAGGAGATGACGTCAAAAATGCAGAGTTCTTACAGGTTAATGCACCGTTAACTGAGAAGACCTGGGACGAGGTTGAGTTGTTTTGGTTGGGAACACACAGAATAACGGACATTTCACTCATTTCACGAGTAAGAACTAGGCGAAATTATTGCTAAAAACATGGCAAGAACAGCAAGAACACAACTGACTGAGAGGGCGACATCTGCTATCTGGAGAATATTTGCGAAGCTGAACATTCCTAAGCGTGCACTATCGAAGGTGAACTTATCATCGATGGAGGTAAACATGTTTTAGCTTTGATTTTAAACTAGGAATTATTTTGAATGAATAATAAAACAATTATTGAATTCGGCTTTCGTATCATATGAAGAATTATGGAGACCTCGGAGGGTGTTATCCGCCTCGGCCTACGGCCTCGACGGATAACACCCTCCTCGATCTCCAAAATTCTTCATAAGATGCTCAGCCTCATTCATTAATTGTTAATTACTATTCGTTCAAAATATTTCCCCGATTCTGATTGGCTAAAAGCACACGTTTAATTCACCATAACCAGTTACTGATGACCAAATTTTGAAGAATTTTGACTTAAACGTGGAAATGACGTCAAAAATGCAGCGTTTTCGTAGGTTAAGGCACCGTTAACCGATAAGACCTGGTGACGAGGTTGAGTTGTTTTGGTTGTGAACTAGAAAAAATGGCGGACATTTCACTCGTTTTAAGAGTAAGAACTAGGCGCAAAAATAGCTTAAAACATGGTAAGAACAGCAAGAAGACAACTCGAAGGGCGACATCTGCAATTTGGAGAATATTTGCGAAGTTGGACAAACCTAAACGTACACTAGCGACGATGAACTGAAAATCGATGGATCGATGGAGGTAAGGACGTTTTAGCTATGTTTTTAAACTAGGAATTATTTTGAATGAATAATAAAACTCGGCTTTCGTATCATATGAAGAATTATGGAGATCTCGGAGGGTGTTATCCGCCTCGGCCTACGGCCTCGACGGATAACACCCTTTGAGATCTCCATAATTCTTCATAAGATACTCAGCCTCATTCATTAACTGTTAAATACAAAAATGACAAATTGATGCTGATTTAAATGTAATAGAGACATGAAGCAACGCCTCCCTCGTACCCAGACGTCTATCTTTAAAACGTGCGCGCAAAGGAAGGCGGGAAGGAGACAACTGTACCCTTCCCATGGTCCCTTGCGGTTCATCACCAGTCACTCGTTTCGCGCTCGCCTCTGCCATACGAAAAACGAAGCGCCTGAGGAGGAGGCTGAAGCAACGCGTTTACGACCACGTGACCAAGTTTCCATTTACTTATCGTTTACTGTTCTTTAAAACTACACGAAATTCGGTAGATTTACGCCAGTTCTATCCATAGAAATTGTTTTAAGCTGTTTTTATCTGCTCATTTCTCATTTTGCAAATTTCTAAACAACCTGAATCTCACGTTTGCCGTTTGGAATCGCATTGCGCCATATTATTGTTAATACAGGACAAAAAAACCTTTATACTTTTCAATTTGGTTTGAAGCAGCAAATTGTTTAATCTACATAAAACTCAGACAGAAAAATTAGTCCTATTTTTAGGGTACAGCATTTGCTTGACCATTTCCATGGCAACGTGTTGGACTAACGGTAATTTGACGTTGATGCTTTTAATTATTATCACACTTGTTTACATTTTAATCAGCGTCTAATAGACTTTATGACAGTTGGACACCAGCTTTACAGCCACAATTGTTCTGTTTGCAACCGTTTAAAACATTCATCTTTGAACATCGAGTTTCTGTCTTTAGAGGATTCACAATACAAGGGTAAAATAAACATTTCTTTTGAATATGGACATTTTAGGCACAGAAGTGCAAATTATGTGTCTTGTTCATTAATATAACGCTGACATATTTTGATAGACTGATTGCAATCTTAATTGCTTCCAAGTTTTGTGTGTTTAAGCACAGAAAGTGCGACTTTTAATTATTAAACACTGTATTAAACCACCTGACCATTTATTTTAGTGTCCAGTATGCAAAGTGAGTGGGACTTGCATTTGAAGCAGCGCCAGGCTTAAATGAAATGGACAGCTTCAGTACTACTACAACGGCTACTTTAACGGTGTCTCCACTGGGTAACTCTTGCTTTCATCTCCCAGATGCAGAATTTGATAAAATTGAACAACGAAGAACAAGCAATCTAATAACAGGTATAATTAATGCGGTTTTATCGCCTTTCGCCGTTACAGCAAACTTCTTAATCGTGTTCGTCATTTTGAGAAAGTACTCTTTACAAACGCCCTCCAATCTGCTGCTTACTTGCCTGGCCATTTCTGATTTACTTGTTGGTCTGATATTTCAACCAAGCTTCGTTATTTTCAGGATTCTTGAGAACACATATGGTCTTGTTCCCTGTGTTGTGAGGATGATATACCGGATGGGATTTTTCATATGCTATGGAGTATCATTTATGACATTGTGCGCCATAAGCTGCGAAAGGTTATTAACGTTGCTGTATTCTTTTCGTTTTCAAGAACTTGTTCGGCGCGAGCGCGTTTCAAAAACAGCAGTTTTCATTTGGCTTGTCAACCTATTATTCACGTGTCTCCAGTGGGCTAATAATCATATCTTCGTAGGTATTCATCTGTGTTTGTAGTTGGCTTCTCTTGTCATAGCATTTTCAGCTCAGTGTAAAATTCTCCTCATAAGTCTTCGCCACCAACGTCAAATCAAACGACATAACCCAGGAACCCCTCCCCAAAGGCAAATGCAAATCAAGCTCGCAATTAATCTTACGTCCATAGTTGCAATTTATTTTGCCTTGAATTTACCTGTCCTTATTGTCACCAAAGTACATCAAATCATTATCGGACATATTGAAAACTATAACTATTATAGTTGGGCCGAAACTGCGGCTTTCTTAAATTCCTCTGTTAATCCGCTCGTTTGTACTTGGCGAGTTAAAGAAATCAGAAGGGCCATCAGAGATATATTTGTGAAGAAAAGGAAACGTAGAAGAGGGAAGAGAACAACTCTTGGCAAAGTTGCAGAGAATAATAACGTATTTTTGGCGAGGTTCAGGGAAATGACAGTGCTATAAAGGGGATTATAAGTGAAGAGATATGGAATAAGGGAAGAACTGTGTTTTGTTCAAAACAAGCTTAAGATTTGACATTGCTGGGATAAACAATTATTTTCGATAACGAATGGGGTAATAAGCGTCTTCCAAGCGTCTTCCGACTGCCTATCTTAAACTGAATTTAACAACAATAGACTGGGACAACTTTTGGTAAAAAGCCGCTAATAAAACTTCTGTCGGCAAACTCGAGGAAAAGTTGGTAAATGCTTTTTTGTGGATGAAAATTATGTGCTGAACACGAAAATTTATTTATGAAGCTTGATTTTGAGTTTTTAACTACAAAATCTGACCTCAAAAAAATTGAGCTTATTTCTGGACATGGAAACGAGGCTAAAATTTTCCCCGCTTTCCAAAACCACATTTGACTCAAATTATTGCCCCAAATTAGCTAACTATAAGTTTTCTTGTTATGACATAAACTAATAGACGGTTGAAGCCTGAAAAAAAAGTTATTTGGAAATCCAGAGACCGGCTAGTGAAAGAATTTGACAAGTGTGTTTGTCGCATAACAATTTAAAGAAAAAATGTTCTTTTAAATAGAACCAGTTTTGATTAAGGATGAACTACGCCAAAAGGGTATTTTAATAAGGAATATATTTCAGCTAGTACAAATAGTCTTCATCAGGACCAGTGACATCTGGTGCGAGTATCAAAACAAAAATAAATCTGGCAGCGAAACGGTTGCACCGAGTTTTATCATGCGTTGTGTCTCCGTCATTCAGCGATTTTATATTGTCCATCTTCTCGCCACATAGCTTAAGCTATAAAAAGCATTCGTTAAAGCTGTCCCAATCTGCTACCACGCATACGCTCATCTGAGTGACATGACACTGACATGAGCTGCGTACTTCAACATGTGAAACTACTACTCACAAAGAGTTTGAAAAACTACTTGTTGCTTCTATTTAGGGTACGGTTAGCTTCTATTCAGGGTTAGGGTTGTTGATATATAGCTTCAAATCAAACTACTACTAGCCAACGAATCCTCAGTAGTGTAGCGGTATAGGTGATGAACTACAGATCTGTACAGCCCTCGAAATGATCCCCAAATTGAACCTGAAATGATAGCGACCCTGAAATGATCCCCGGCCAGATGCCGCCTTATTCTTGTTAGAAAATGTGACGCTTGATCGACTAACTGACCACCGATGATTGGACCAAACGGTGCAGAAACTAATTGCTTTTCGCAGTAGGAAGTTTATTGCTTGTCCGTCAAACCCTAGCGTCCTTAACAACGCCAGGGTCCTGTGGTGTGCAAAAAAAAGTCGTATGCGGGTCCTCATGGACAGTTGCCATAGGAACATCTGAATAGAGTTCCTGTTTCGGCGGGATTTTACTGAGGGGAGTCATTCTAGACTGGCGTTGCTGCATTGGCACACTAACTTCGCTTTTGTTGTCTATATTTTTGTCAATTTTTTTTCTGCAGATAACAAGTTATTCTTATTTCAGTGGCCTATCTCTCTCAAGGCGTTGAGTGTCTGGCGCTGCATTCGGGAGGGATCAGGTTATGAGGGGTTTTCTTCCGGACGGGCAGCATGCACGTTAGTTCATAGAACATTGTAGCGCAATCTGTAGCAATCTGTTTGATGCAAACATCAACAAAGCGGGTCTGGTGCTCGAATCGTGTGCAGCAGCTAGTACTCTATCTACCAGTGAAAAGTTGTTCTCTCTTGGAATTGGTTGATGTAGGGAATAGGGGAAACTTCTCCCAGGCACCGCGAAACTCCAAGGCTGAACCATGCCCTAGCGCCGCTTCAAAGGATAATCGACGGTTCCAGCGCAAGGAAGACTTTGGTGCGAAACACGAGCAAATTTATCATTTCGCTGAGCAACCCTTGTCATTTGTAAAGAAAAGCATCTTTTACTGTTAGGTACTAGCCTGGGACCAGGCTACGCAGTGGGGGAAAAAGTCAAAGGAGAGTTAAATAAGAAAAAAATCTGGCGAGCGAAGCGAGTCGAGAGCAACCTCGTCCCCAGGGCGATTTTCCCTGGCTTTGGGGCGGGGCGGGAAAAGGCCCTGGCATCGGCCGGTCGATCCGTCATTGTGATTGGTTGACTGATTTAGGTAATTTATATAAGAAAATGACCAAATAAAAATAATTTATGCATTATACCGAAATCGAAATGGCGGAAAGTATTTCCACTCCAACGAAGATTTCTGCAAGAAACCCAGTTTGCAGGCTCCTATGAGAGTCGCTATATTTTTTTTTCCCGCCCCTCCCCAAAGCCAGGGAAAAGCGCCCTGGGGACGAGGTTTTTTCGGCTCTTTTTTCTTTTTGCCAACGCCAATTTTTTTCTTCTTTTTCCCCCAATGCGGGGCCTGGTCCCAGGCTAGGTATGTAGCTTAAATAATATTGAATCAACTGACATCGTCGAACTGAGAATCAGTTTACTCGAACCAGGCCTACCCCTCCACCGCCTTGTACTGGGACGGCTGGCGCAGAAGAATATGTCTACAAGTTAAACAAGATCACAATATGAACTGAGGCACACACTACCAACTCCGCGGTAAGGCCAGTACCTTACGTAAGTGAGACCGTTCTGGCTATGCCATGCTGATGAGTCCTAACAAGGACGAAACAGCTGTCCATGGCTGCCACTGCCGGGGTGATATGGTTGTGCGCATGCGTAAGGTACTGGCCATACCGCGGAGTTAAACCGCGGCGTTGGTAGTGTGTGCCTCAGTTCATATTGTGGTCTTGTTCTACAAGTTAAAGCCTTCTAGTATTGAACAATTGCTTGTTTTCAGTGTCACGCCATTCAAACAGATCAAAATAAAAATCAAAACTGTGCAATAGATAAAGTCCAGAATCTGGGAAATGAAAGGAGGTAAATATGCAAAGACCCTCGCGAAGATTCAGGTCAGAGGAGTATTTCCTATTCGAGATATCCAAAGAAATGTTTTACCCAAATTTAAAGAGATTTGTATGGAGACGCCATGCTGGTGCTCATCCGGTTGAGCACCAACGCGGCGGAAGGAAACCAACAGAAACATCTGTTACCGAGTTTTGCTACAAAAGTGTGAATTTATTCTTCGAAGAACTTATAAACATCAAAGTAATACTTTTTCAAATACATAAACTGTTTAGATAGCAAAATGCCCTGAAATAAGGAATTTTTTTTAACCTACATGACAACTCTCTTAGCCGTCATGTAAATGGCGGGTCACGCAAAAGCTTAGAAATTCAAGCGTACTCTATCACAAAATCAAGAACCCTTTTGAGGAGAAAATTTGTATGAAAATTAGTTTCAGGTGCTCGTCATGGTGAAAGTAAATCTCGGTAGGCTTGATAGTTTTTAGTGACGTCTCACGTCAAAAAGCTTTACCGACAACCTTGGGTTGTCGGTGCTCGATGCCATCCGAGCGAGGCCGAACATTGCCGACAGGCTGGGGTGTCCGACGGCAAATGCAGGGGTTTTCAACCGGTGCAAAAACCAAAATGGCGTGGCAACCAGACCAAGACGGTTTACAGCAAATTATACAGCTTTTAAAAGAAAGTCAGAGCCCTAATAATGAAGTACAGCGAGCAGTTCAACAAGTATCCTTTACTCTACCAGATATTTTGTTAAAATCTGTATTTTTTAAGGTTTTAGACCAAATAATGGCCGTCACATCGCTAAGGTTTTGCGCGTCACACGTGCTAGTTTCTGAAATCAAACATGTCTTCAATTAGTACGTTTTCGTTGTATTCCTTAACGGAATTGCTTTTCAGAAACTTGAATCCTTGAACCAATTCCCTGACTTCAACAATTACCTGATATTTGTTCTGACGAAGTTAAAAAGCGAAGGTAAGCTTTCTAGCTGTGTAATCTACAGTGCGAGTTCCGGTTTGCAATATGCACGATCACATGTGGCAATATTTTTTCCTGCATAATCATTCCGTTTGAAATTAACCATGTTTATATCACTGTTCCATTTCAGATGAACCGACTCGTTCGCTGTCGGGTTTAATTCTTAAAAATAACGTCAAGTCACATTATCACACATTTCCTGATCCAGTTAAAGAGTTTATAAAATCAGAATGTCTTCAAGCCATAGGCGATCCCTCGCCTCTCATACGAGCTACAATCGGTATCTTGGTCACCACAATAGCTGCGAAAGGCGATCTTACGAACTGGCCCGAGCTTTTACCAACTTTGTGCCAGCTTTTGGACAGCGAAGACTACAATGTTTGTGAGGTATTTGAAAATATAGATGAACTTACATAGCTTATCGAGACTTTAAAACTATATTGAAAATCATAAGTTTTGAGCTTTCAGCTGCTTGAAACTATATGATTGATATTGCGGAAAAATTTTAAATGCGACAACGTTAAAATCATATTGAAAATTATAAATTTTGAGCTTACTGCATGGAACTGTATGACTGATATTGTAGGAAAAATGTCAAAAATGCAGCTGCTGGAGAGTGAATTAGTGAAATGCTGAGTTTGTGCCAGAATAACATGACTCGATCATATAAATTCTGGCACAAACTCAGCATTCCGGGAACTCGCTCTCCCAGCAGCTTTGTTTTTGACATTGTCACTTGTAAGATTTTTTCACGCTCCAAGGCAGTTAGTTTCATGCAGAAAGCTCAAACATAAAGTTTTTAATGAGTTAACAAAAAAACCATGTACATGTACCTGAATTGCACATTCATTTAATTTATTATTATTATTATTATTCTTTTTGTACTTGCCAAAACTAACAGGATTTTTTGAACCCCTACTCACAGCTCATTGTCATACAGGTGTAGAAATTCATCGAGGCCTCAGACATACTTACAATGTGAAGTCCTTTTTGAGTTTCCTCTGACGGCTAAAAAGTGAAATTATTATTTTAGCAGAGTGACAGAAAGTAAAACAAAATTGTGAAAACAAAGATTATGTATAATAAATATTATAATTAAGTTATGGATAGCTCACAGCCACATCTGAAATGCTTCTTTAAGTTCCTGTCAGAAACAACAGCTGGATGGTATTAACGGCTGATCAATTCAGACGTTACTGAGGGAGTAAAAACAACTTGAAGTAACTGTCTGAAATTCAGGCTTCTCTACTGACTGATATTTTCAGGTTAGAGCAGGGGTTGGAAAAATGTTCAATTCCAGCTTGTCTTCTGGGCAAGCAGCACTTGCGTTTTGCTTGCCTGGGGCCACCTCTTGCATGTCATATTTAATGGCCTCATTAGAGATTGACCTGACTGAATCCTTGCCTATTGGGCAAGTGCAAGTACTTGTAAAGCTTAAAAAGTTACTTGGTCTGCAATAAAATCTACTTGTCCTGAACTACCAGTTGGGACCTATTTTGAACCCTGTTAAAGATAATGGGCCAGTTATTTAAACGGAGTTTAGTTCATGCTTAACAAAACCACGTTCTAAGCCATTTTCAGTTTGCCCAACGCTTTTATTTATACGCCATTTATCCTGAACAATTTCAATAAAGCATGTAGCTTTAACTGGAAAAGCACTTATTTTCTAAGAAAGAGATCTAGAGGTCCAATGGTCTCTTAAACCGCTGTCTAAGTTAGACTTCGTTTAAATAACCGACCCAATATGTTTTGAGAACTAATGGGGAATGAATGTATGTGTCTTGTTTTAATAGGGAGCATTTGGAGCTTTGCAGAAGATCTGTGAAGATTCAGCTGAGCAGCTGGACAGTGATGCACTTAGCAGACCCCTCAATATACTTATCCCCAAGTTTCTTCAGTTTTTTAGACATGCAAGCCCCAAAATAAGGTCAGTGTCAAACCGTTTCAAAGATATCTTAATTTTTTATTGTTTTACTTGTGAATTGCAATGTCAATGAAAGTGCTAACTAAGTGCTAAGCATGTCCACTTATTCTAGAATATTTCTTATCACACATACTTAACAAAATTTATATAACAGTGAAATACTTTTCAGCAAGCTTACCTATACTTAAATGAACGTTTATTTTGATCTCCTAGGTCCCATGCTATTGCCTGTGTTAACCAGTTTATTGTCACACGGACACAAGCACTCATGGTTCACATAGGGACTTTCATTGAGGTATAAACATTTTGTATTATGTCCATTTTGTCCATTCATAATTTTGTTGTCTCATCATGTTAGAGACTAAAGAAAGATGTCATAGCTGTTTTGTGAAAGAATTTCATCCAGTAAATGTCATGCTGCAGTCAATGCTCACTTTGCTAGTCTGTGAATGTAGTGGCTTTTTCTGCCATTTGGGGATTTTTTTTAGAGAGATCTCTCTCATAAAATGCCTCTTGTCGAGGTGAGTTACAGAGGCAGCCATACTTGCAGGGTACATGTATCAGTTTGTCAACAGCCTGTTTTTTTTTTGACACCATTAAGTATTATTGTCAGCATTTCACACTGCGAGTCCCAGGAATAAAAATTCATGTATTACTGGAAAATGTAGTCACTCTGCCACAATCCTGAAGATGTTCATTATAACAGGCAGTAACCACAGCTATGTAGCTATAAGATATTAATGATTTTGTTGTAGAATCTGTTTGCACTTGCGGGAGATGAGGACCCTGAAGTGAGAAAGAATGTCTGCCGAGCCCTGGTGATGCTTTTGGAAGTTAGAGCTGATCAGTTGATTCCTCACATGAATAACATAGTTGAGGTGAGATGATGATAGAAATTAATTTTTACCTTTGTCTTTTTAGAGTACAGTCAGCAAGTCTACATGTACATGTACATACAAGCTGTAGTTTATTGCAGACATGTTTGTTAGTAACGTTTTTCTTCAAGTTTGAATAAGCATGTTTTAACCCTTCAAGCTGTAAAGAGCGATCAGCTTCAAATTCCTCCCTTCTCAATCATTTAGAAAACAGAGTGGTCACAAGAATTAAGGACATGGTGACAAAAGACGAATTTGCTTGATCTTATATTTTAACAAACTTCTGCCCTCTGAGTTCTTTAGATAATGTGCAGGGGAACAAAATTGAAATTTTGATCTTAGATTAAAGGCTTGAAGTCCTCCTCTAACCACTATATATATTGTACAGCTCTTTTATTTGACCATTGTGGTAAATAAAATGTTTGTAAAATATTGAACTGTGTCCACCTATTGCCATAAGCTTTTGGATTGTTGATTTTTGTTGCCTTTGGCCAGTTGTACATGTGTATATTTTCTTGTTTCATTGATTCCAGTTGGCCGTCTTGTCAGTCATAACCCTAGGTTGGCACCTGGTGACTAATGTTTGCCTTTGGGCAGCAAGAAAGTCTTAGTCTTTGTACAGAGCATATGCAATGGGTAGCCTGGATTTGATTTAATTTATAACCTTTATAGACAATATTACTTTTCTCTTGAGTGTAGCCCAGTGTTCAGTGAATAATGTGTTGTTGAAGATCATCAGGTTTATTGAGTGCAGTTGACCAGCATCTCAATACGAGCTATGATAATAGAATGTGACCTTAGCTTAATGTTCCTGTTTTACAGTACATGTTGATGAGGACACAGGACAAAGATGAGAATGTTTCTCTCGAGGCCTGTGAGTTTTGGTTGACACTAGCTGAGCAGCCAATCTGTAAAGAGGCACTTAATCCACATCTCCACAGGTATTGAGTTAGATACATGCAACTCTTTTAGCCCTGTAACTCTTCAAACTCTGTATTAACCCTTTAAGCCCCAGTATCCACATACAAATTCTCCAAACTAATCTCTATACATTCCCTTTAAGAATGAGTTGAGAGAATTTGATAAAAGATCAAGGCATTTTTACTTGGGTGATCATTTTAATAATTCTCATAACATATCTGTTGACAATGTATGGATATTGTTAGGAGAAAATTGATCCTGGTCACTATTGGGACTTAAAGGGTTAAGAGCAAATTAAATGCTTCAGTGCTGCAATGCCTGGGCTTAATAGTCAAATACACCCCTGTATATTATTATACTGTATTATGTGCTCTGGAGGATTTTTTTTTTAGGAAGTTAATGGGCGTCAACTGAAATGAGTTCTCAAAGCAATGCAGAGGGTGAAAAATTTTTTTCAATATTACCTACCCTAATCCCTTTCCCCAAAAGATCTGTGAAAAGATTGAAGTCAAATCTCTGTTTAGCACTATTCCTGTGTATGCAAGAACCCTATTATACAATACAGTGGTGTAGGTTTACAAAATGTACTTCACATTCATAATGATTAATTTTAGTATGTTTTGCGCAAAGTGATTCAAAGTTTTGTAAGGTATTAATTTGCTCATTTCTTTCATTAGGCTTATTCCAATACTTGTAAATGGAATGAGATACTCTGAGATTGACCTCATCCTTCTTAAGGTACACCATGTTTATTTGATAAACATATTTAACAATGTTAGATGTTCAATTCTTGCAACTTCAGCAGTGTTTGATTTGTAATACTGATTGGTTTAGATTTGGCAACTAGATTTGAAGTTTTAGGCCTGGTTCAGATGCCAAACTTTTCCTGATAGAAAATTCGGCATCTGAATCAAAGGTGTTCCAAAGGCAAAATTCCCGGCGGGGCTAGGCGAAAAGAACCGCTGAGTCGTTCCAGTTTGAAACAGGCGTCTGAACAGGCCCTTATACATGTTACAGTTCAAGGGATCAGAAGCATTGTTCTTTTCTATAGACTCGTTGTTTATATGCACAAGTCAACAACAACAACAACAACTTTTATTGACCCCTTATACACAAGAAAGATGAACTTTATATCCAACAAAAATTAAATCTAAACGGGGTGTTGTCTTCCTAAAGTAAATCACTAAAGAGTTAAAAAGTCTAGGAAGCCAAAATATGTAGAATAAATTACAATATGAGGGTTGGAATAACACAAAAACACAACACAAACATGCACTCATATCTAACTGAAAAAGAAATAAATCAAATAAATTTCAAGGGGAGAAAAACAGGATTTAAAATATAGACTTTGCAAATTCATCAATTGACTGATTGGCCCTTAATTTGTTGGTTTTAGGCTGATAATGAGGATGATGAGTCTGTGCCAGATAGTGAACAAGACATCCGGCCAAGATTTCACAAATCAAAGACACACAGTCAACAGCATGAGCAATTACAAGACGGAGAAGTAGCTGTAAGAAGGCTGTTACATTGTACATATATTACATTAGGCAAACCCAGAGGACAGTTCTAAGGATCTGGGTAGTGCTTCAGATTGGTCAAGCCGCAGGGGAAATTTCCTTCAACCAATCAAAAGATCTGGGTAGTGACACGTCATCAGTTTGGAATTCCTCCTATGTCATTTCGCAGGGAAGCTAGTGATGGTGTTACAAAATGTTGGCTGTTTTCTCAGGCTACTTTCCTAGCAAATTTATTAAAAGTTTGTACCTCGCAGCTTTTTGTTTAGAAACCTTGTGTCCCTTTTTAGCAAGATAACAATTGAATGATTTTTCTCAGGGGGACAGTGAAGAGGATGAAGATGACATGGACGATGATGCTTTGTCGGACTGGAACTTAAGTGAGTTCCAATTTTGTTGCCTTAACTGATGAAAATATGTTTTTCAAAGTGAAATTTTGTTAGTGAGTGTTCCCTCGTTCAGTGACTCTAATTTTTTTAAAACTCATTGATGCCGTACAGTGTTACATATAGATTTGAGAAAGAAAGTTCATTTTGTCATACTCGAAACAGCTCTTTTCATAAACCTTTAATGTCTGTCCCAATCTTAAACTGTGCCATACTTGTATCTGTTCACATACTGTAGCTCTGTGCTAATCCCCCTATGGTTCTTTACAGGAAAGTGTTCTGCAGCTGCCTTAGATGTTCTTGCCAATGTTTTCCGCGATGACCTGTTGCCAGTGTTACTGCCGATTTTGAAGGAAACACTTTTCCATCCTGACTGGGAAGCCAAGGAATCAGGAATTCTTGTCCTGGGTGCTGTGGCTGAAGGTAGAAAGCTTGTACTATATTAGGGTTTAATTGAATGCTAAAAAGAGTGCTTGAGATGTTCATCAGCAATAAAATTATTAATTTTCAAGTTGAGATTGTTAAAAGAATAAATTATAGTGTGCACCACAGACAAACTAAATGTGCAAGTCATGCATGGTTGGCCTGTTTAAAAAAGCCATTGTTTGATTGCCCAATCAGGTTGAAGGGAAATTTTTAAACACTCTTATTGTAATTTGTTGAATCCATTGGTGGCCCTGAACAAAGGTTTTGGTGCTGCTTTGCAGATCTTACTAGCTACATGTAGGGTTTGGTTACAATGCAGGATAAAAGAGTGAATGTATGTTTTTGTTTCAGGTTGCATCACTGGAATTGCTCCCCACTTGCCTGAACTGATTCCTTTCTTGATCAACTCACTATCTGAAAAGAGGGTAAGTACTGTACTATACAATTTGCGATTTTCAATCCAGTACAAAGTTTGTTTTCAGTTTAAATTTCATACCAGAACGAGTCAATTTCATCCAGAATAAAAACCGGAATGACTTGTATGGGAGCAAAATGTCATTTAGGAATGCTGAAAAACACATTATATGAAGATGGAATGAACTCATTCCAGAATGAAAGTCATACCAGTGTCATGTGAATAGCTTCTTGGTATGATGTCATTATCACTGTTTTCCATGCTTGATTTTGTTCCTTGCGGTTCAAGTCTTCCTGGCCTTGCATTTTTCTTGTAATTGCTCCTTTAACTGTAAGTCACAATGCAAATTATGGTTGAAATTAAGTGTTTTGGAGTCATTTTCTTTCTTGTATAATCTAGAGTTTCATGAGATTTTTTGGTCTTGTTTGTTTGTTATTTTTTGCCAGGGATGAATGAAATTCAAATAATTAACTCTTTTGAGTTAAACTGTCTTAAATTAAATTTCCAAACAAACTTTTTTCATTCAGCTTTCACCATAATATGGCATATTATGCCAACAAAAGGAGCAAAAGGTTGCACAAGCTATTCTGAGCAGACTTGCTAATATCTTTTCAGGCACTGGTGCGTTCTATAACTTGCTGGACGCTGAGTCGTTATGCACACTGGGTTGTTAGTCAGCCACACGAGGCCTACCTCCAGCGCCTTATGACAGAGGTACAGTTTAAGGGTCTTGATCATAGCCAACAAAACAAAACAGAACATGTCCATTAAATTAGTTATTTATTTATTTGTTTATTTTTTCATTTTAAAACCAATAGACCTTTTTACTGATATGGTGGCGATATTGAATAGGTTAGGTTTAAAGGGGCTATGTCAGCTGGAGAGCATGCGCTCTGAGGTTATGCAAATTACTTTCAACTGTCAAAATTCTATTGTTTTTAACGCATGACTTTCTCCATGTGCGCTGTGAGGTTATGCAAATTACTTTCAACTGTCAAAACTCTATTGTTTTTAACGCGTGACTTTCTTCATGTTCTCTGTCACGTCCAAGGTTCCGAATTTAGAGAGGTTTAGCGAAATGGGTTTAGATAAGGGATATTTCGATAGAATTTATGGAAACGTTTCTTCTCTGGTTATGCTAGATCAAGAATAAAATTGCAACGACAATTTTACTTGTAGTTTTGAAGTAAAAACGGATGCCATTCATAAAATAGAGCGCAAACAAAATTCAACAACAACATATTGTCTTATTCAACAAAATAAATGGAAGTTGTATTTTACAAACGAGCTACAAAAAGACACTAGACTGAAGATAAAGACCAAGACTGTTTCAAATCATTAACAATTAGACTTGTCTGTCGCTATTGATTTTATAATTTAGATGCTGATAGAACAAGAGACCAAGTCTTTGTTTTGATCTTAGGGAAACATACATTATCGCAAAAAATTGTTCGATCGTGCGAATCACTGAGATGTCGAGAAAAAAACAGAACCCAGCATCATTGGTATACTACTCCACTATAAGCAGTCTGTTGATAAAAAGGGAAAGCAAACTCTGCTATTTTCCAAAATTATGCTCCAACACAAACAGTTCAAAAACATGGCATTTACAGGATCTAACTCATTAAAGGTGCCTCTCTAAGTCCGTTGAGAACAATCTGGACGAGCAAACGGTCGTGTTTATCTTTGCCGTGAATCGAGATAAATACAAGAAGGAATCTAGCCGAATTTTAGAATGTTTCCTTCGCCAGGAGTTTAGTTTCAATCACGAAACTGATGGCCTGATGCTCTTGTAATCGTTTACAAAAAATGGCCGCCGCCAACTCGATAGCCGCTTCATTATATGTCCACATACTTTGAGCACAAGAAAAATCCAAGAGCCAGCAGCCTCTAAAATAACTCAATAGAAAGGTCCTGTGAACTATAGGGAAGATTCCATCAAAGATTCCATCACTCATTGTGGAGTAGCCGTCATTAACTCTGCCATTACAACGGCCGCTGATAAGAGGACACAGTAAATCCACGTAAAAACATTCCACAGGCAAACAATTTTAAAATAACGCCAAAAAATTGTTCTGTAATCACCATAGAATGATTCTTAATACAAAACTTCGCTAACTATCGAACGATGGCTGAGATTTAGACAGATAAAAACAGCCTTCCAAAATCTCCGACACAACTTGAAAAAGTTGGGCTGTCTTTTTCAAGTTTGTTTTCATTGGCTCGCGCATGCGTGTTGGGTGACATAGCCCCTTTAAGGAGTATTATAGGATGTCCAGGGGGCATGAGCCAGTCCGTTTAGTGTTTACGAGTACCTTTTGAGGGATTTTTTCTTAAAATTTTGCAGTTGTGCAGTGTTAGGATGTAATAATGATGGCCTTTTTCCCAAGAAATATACAGTGAAAGACCATTTTTCTAATACAAAGCGAGTACAATGGATCTTGCTCAAGCCCCCTGGGCATCCCATAATACTCCTTAAATCAAATTAATTCAATATGGCCAGCAAAAGGGTCTATTCTTTATTTTTTCTCTTACAACCAACCATGATTTCCAACTACGGCAAAATGTTTGTCGGTTACTTTGGCTACATGTATGTGTTACCATTGTTGAGCAGACATCAAATTCTTGATTCCTCAGAATTATTTTTGTACCTTAATCATTTTAAAATCCTTTTGCCATTTAGCTTCTCAAAAGGATCCTGGATAGCAACAAGAGGGTCCAGGAAGCAGCTTGCAGGTATTAATTTTTGTCCTTTGCATTAAAATAGTCGTGGGATACAGGGTACATCATATTGACTTTTTTGTCTTTTACCTTATAGTGCTTTTGCTACTTTAGAAGAAGAAGCTTGTACTGAACTTGTTCCTTACCTCAGCTTCATTCTCGAGACTTTAGTTTTTGCATTTAATAAATACCAGGTTTGTTATTTTCATGAAACATAAATATTATAATCAAAACAAATTTATGTGCATGCTGTTATTGGTACAAGAGCATTCTTTGAAATAACCTTGCACTACTGTGGTTTGATAGTTAACCTTTTCATCAGCCTTGAAGACAAGCACTGTTCTCATTCCCCGAGTACTTTGGTGCAGGAAGCTAGTCTTAGCTTTTAATAAAACTCCTGCACAAGGTTTTAACAAAGTGTGTCTGGTCTTGCTAAAAACATTCATCTCGTTTCTTCTTACAAGCTAATGTAGCATGTTTATTTCTTGGAAGCACTCTTGTTTTTGCTAAAGTTCCAGTGAATGCATAATAAAACCATTATTGAACTCAGTTTTTGCATGATAGTGCAAACCTCAGCCATGATGTTCTTGTTATTGTGCTAAACTTTTTCCCACTGTTAATTATTTGCATTGTTACATGAAGATTGTATTTTTTCTGTCGGTTGTTGTACCATAAATCCTCTTCTAAGCCCTCTCCCCTCTCAAATACGCACCTTTTTAGGGAAAGAAAGTTTTAAAGCCGCCCCCCTCCCTCCCCCTCATTATTCTTCACTAATACATGAAAATGATAGTCTGTATTAGTTAATCACAACTGTTACGCTGTGGACTGAACCAGAATTGTTAATTCACCTGCTGGAACTTTGGATTGGTGTTGGTCTTTAGCTGCTTGCCCTCCTACTACTTGTAGTTGCATTATTATTCTAGTTTTTAATTAGAACTGATGCCATCATCTTCGCTAATTTAGATAAGCACCAAACATGCTTTAAATATATTAGCCCCCTGGAGGAGTAAAAGAGGATTTATGGTATTTGCTAGTCTAAGAGTGAAATGTTTTGTTTTCACTTGATCTTTTGTTAGCACAAAAATCTCTTGATACTCTACGATGCTATTGGAACACTTGCTGACTCTGTGGGTCACCACCTGAACAAGCAGGAGTTCATAAACATGCTGATGCCACCCCTTATTCAGAAATGGAACCAACTTAAAGATGAAGACAAAGACTTATTTCCACTCCTAGAATGCCTTTCATCTGTTGCCACAGCACTCCGGTCAGGTTTCCTCCCCTATGCTGAACCTGTGTTCCAGAGATGTGTGTCTTTAGTGGAACAAACATTAACTCAGAGCGTGGTAAGAGCACATTTTATGCAGTATTCATACTTTCAGAGAGTATTCTGGTGATGGACATAATATGCACATGTTTTTTCATTTAAAAATGAGATTTAAAAAAATGATTAAAAGTGCAATAGAATGCTGATGTCTCGAACCAGACCTAACTTCTCTTCACCAGTCAAACTCTGGAATTTTACCTGCGATTTTTGAAACCTCCTGATAATTTGAACCAGTTAACTTTTCCAAGGTGGTTTGAGAAAATCGGAAATCTGCTGTCGCTGATCAGGCTAATTTTTAGCAGTGCCGGTTGCCCCATGGCCACTAGGGAATTTACTCTAGTTTTTGTGCAAAGGTTCATCGGTTTAGCAGGGCTCCCTGCAGTTCTTGTTAGATCTCAGGCCTGTTGATTTTTGCGTGTTTTTATATAATTATCCTATTATTACAATCAATTATTAATGTAAGTCACACTTACATGTACGTGCTTTGATAAATGTGAGAAACTAATGTTGACGCACATTTTCTTCTGCTTGCATAATTAATAGGGTCAGCTTTAATTTTTTCCAGTTGTGCACATCTCTTTCTCCTTTTTGTTGTCAGGCATCCCAGACCCACCCAGACCAGTTTGAGCCTCCTGACAAGGACTTCATGATAGTGGCTTTAGATTTGTTAAGTGGACTAGCTGAAGGACTAGAGGGACAGATTGAACAGTTTGTCATCAGAAGTAACACCATGACATTGCTCTACCAATGTATGCAGGTACAGTTTGGCATGTGCTTGTACTGCTGAACAGTGCTGTCTTAGGTCTGAGTATTGAAATTGTTATTACTTTTTTGGACATCACTGAAAGCACACCATAACTGGAGACATAATACTTGTTTGTTTTAAAAAAATCTTGGCTTAGGATTTGAGCTAATAAGTGAGTGAATAACGATGAAAGTTAGCCTGCAGTTGACCTCTTATGCCTTCCTTCATGAGTTTTGGTTAAGTGTAACAATAATTATTACTGTGCTTTTTTTTTCAATCAGGACAAAATGCCAGAAGTAAGGCAAAGTTCTTTTGCTCTTCTTGGGGATTTAACAAAGGCCTGTTTTCAACACGTCAAGCCTTGCATTGGTAAGTTTTAAAATCTAGATAGTGTGTGACGTAGCGTGAGAAAACAGCTGACATTTCCTGACGCCATCAATGGTTTCCCCGTGAAATGGCGCGTGAGCAACAACTGCAGAATTCCACACTGATGATGTTTACTACTCAGATCATTTTAGTGCTCCTGATCATTTGAAGCAAATTTACGACCAATACGACCAATCAGAAGCACTACGACCACTGCTAGATGTGGGTAGTTGATTTTGTAGGGAAAATATAACAAAAATTAACTATGTTTGTGTATCTTTTAATGGCAGGTGACTTTTTGCCAATTCTGGGTCAAAATCTCAATCCTGAATTCATTTCTGTGTGCAATAATGCAACATGGGCCATTGGAGAAATTTCAGTCCAACTTGGTAAGCCTTTGCATAATTATTATTAATTTACACCCACACTTCCTGTTGAGTTGTACCCTGCGAGCAGAGGCTACATTTTCGCTGTGTGAGCTGGCATGCGAAAAGTAGCCTCTGCCAACAACCGTTCAAATCTTTCCAGAAATCTGGATGAATAAATTTTAAAAATGGGTTTTTTCCTGTTCTTGACCAGTTTAGAGCTTTGCATGAGTCTTCCATAGCAGATCAAAGTTGTCCCAATTTTTTTATTCCCACAATACTCGCACCATTTGACGACAAACCTGACAATTAATTTTACTTCCGAATCGCGTGATGAATTTCATGCATGCACGGATAGAAAATTAAATGGTTGTTGGCAGGGGCTACTTTTCGCACGTTTTCTCACACAGTGAAAATGTAGCCTCTGCCTGCAGCGTTGTTGGGTTGTTGTCAACGAGTCAGATAGTGAGATTGGGGGAGATATACCCGGTCCAACAACCTTATTGGTTCTTAATTTTGCTGGTACATAATTTCGCGATTTTGGCAAGATTGTATTTTGTGGGGTGTTGTTTTCACGATTTCAATAGCCAGATATGAGAAAGAGTATTAAATTTTGCGTTTCAATCGTTCTCAACCTGATTTTATTTTTCAATCTTCTGAGCTTTATAAGATATTGAGATAAAACGAAACAATCAAAATGCGTATTAACATTATTTCACAACAGAAGACACAGTCACAGAATTGAACGTACCAGTAAAACCAGCGCATAATTTCTGGTGCCTGGAGATTAGGATAGTAGGCTCCTTTTGTCACTTGCAACAATAATAACTACTTCTCTGCGGACAGCAAAACGTCTATACTATGAGAAGAAATTGACTAACGTTCAATCTAATACTCGTGCTACTTGGAAAGTTTTAAATGAAATTCTAAACAGAAGCAAAAGAAATTCCAATAGATGCTCAACATTTAAAGCTGATGATCGTGAAGTTACTGATCCTGTCGAAATTGCCAACAAGTTTTGTAGTTATTTTTCAAGCATCGGTCCTAATTTAGCAAGGGGTATACAGTCGTCAGCTTCACACCGTTGTTTTCTTAATGGTTCCTTTACACAGTCAATATTCTTCAACCCTACAACTCAAGATGAGATCACCGAGATTGCGAAAAACTTTCTTCCAGGCAAAGCAGCTGGCTACGACCAGATTCCAATGACAGTCATTAAGGAGTCCATTCTACTTGTTTCTGAACCACTCACCCATATCATAAACTTGTCAATCCAGCATGGTATTGTTCCCGATGAAATGAAAATCGCTTCGCGTGATACCTATTTTTAAATCTGATGATCAGTCGCTTTTCACCAACTACCGACCTATCTCGGTGCTTCCCAGTTTTTCCAAATTCTTTGAAAGAGTTATCTACAATCGTTTAATGCAATATCTGATGAACTTCAACATCCTCTGTAGTAACCAATACGGCTTCAGGGAAAATCATTCCACTGCACTCGCTAATCGACTTGCATGATAAGATCTCTACTGCCTTTGACCGAGGTGAATTTTCCGTAGGTATTTTTCTTGACCTCTCAAAAGCCTTTGACACTGTAAATCATATCATCCTTTTTGATAAACTCGAACATTACGGTATTCGTGGCTTAGCGCTGGACTGGATAAGAAGTTACTTTTCAAACAGAAAGCAATATGTTGAATATAATGGCCACCGCTTAGTTAAGAAATGAAATCTCTTGTGGGGTCCCTCAGGGTTCTATCCTCGGACCTCTATTTTTCTTACTGTACATTAACGACATCAACAATGCTTCTAATCTATTAAATCTGATATTGTTCGCTGACGATACCAATGTATTCATGTCACATAAAGATCTGAACTATCTCTCAGATATGTTAAACTTGGAGATGGACAAACTGTCAATCTGGTTTAAAAGCAAACAAGCTTTCTCTAAATCTTAAAAAGACTAAATTTATGGTCTTCAAACCAAGACAAAAGCGTTCAATTTGTAATATTCAAATAAGTATAGATAATCAAAATATTGTTAAAGTAAAGGAGACAAATTTTCTAGGCGTAATTTTGGATGAAAACCTAAATTGAAGTCGGAAATATCTCACGTTGCAAGTAAAGTTGCGAAAGTCAATCGGTATAATATCTAGATGCAGCTTCTTTCTTTCTAAATCGTCTTTACGTATGCTCTACTATTCCTTAATTTATCCTTATTTTTACTACTGCAATATCGTTTGGGCTTCGACCTATAAAACTAATCTCCGCCGCCTTGTTATCCTGCAAAAGCGCATTATTAGAATTATTAATAAATCACATTTTAATGCTCATACTGACCCCATCTTTAAGGACCTCGGTATACTAAAATTTAATGATATCCATTTGCTTCAACTGGGCCAATTTATGTATTCTTGCAAAAATTCATTCTTACCTCCAAAGTTTAATAACAATTTCTCTCAAAGCAATCAATTCCACTCTTACAATACAAGAAATTCCCAGGCCTACCGTCTACCGTATTGTCGTACAAACACGAAGAAGTTCTCGCCCTTTTTTCAAGGGCCTAAGTTTTTTAATTCACTTGACAACAAGATCATCAACTCTCAATCCCTCTCCTCTTTTAAGAAAAAACTGAAAATTAAATTATTGAGTAAGTATGAAAACAGTTTATAAATCTTTCCATCTTCGACTTTTCGCCTTCTTCTCTTCAATTGATGTGAAACAGCTCTAGCTCATAGTTCGAGGAGGCCTAACCTCTCATAAGCTCCTATAGTTTCTGTTAGGTCTCCTCGCCACTTCTTTTTTTTTTTTCTTCTTCTTTTCCTATATTTTTTGTAATTAGTGTGGCAAATAAAATAAAATAAAATAAAAAATAAATACTACTGCTCCCACTACCACTACCACTACCACTCCGCCTCCTACTCCTACTCCAACTCTTGTAACCACTATTACTAATAATAATTATGATAATAATAATAATAATAATAATTAGTATTCACCAAATCAGTGGATAGCAATTTTCATGCATTTTGATTGGCTCCTGTAACTCGGAATATCCTTGGATATTCACTGTTTTGGGATCAGATTCCAAATGGCTTTTCCTTTCGCAATGGTTTTGAAAGATGAAATTTTAGCAGTAACTGAAGCAGCTGAACCAACAAATACCAAGAAAGAGACAAAATTTGGCTTGTTGGTGTTTATTGGTTGATAGATAAAATGTGACCTTCTCCAGGAAAACGTACACTAACGGTTTACCGTTTAACGGCTTAAAGCGTTAACAACCCGTTAACTAAGCGTTACAACGGCTTGGGAAAGCGTTCAAGCCGTTAGTAAAACCGTTAGAAAAATTTGCCTTGCCGTTAGAAGCGTTAGAGAAACCGTTAAAGGCGTTAGTCAAGCTCGTTCAAAACGTTAGAAAAAGTCGTTCGAAATTTCGTTCCAGGACGTTCAAGTCGTTCGGCAAAGTCGTTAGATTTGCATTCCAGAACGTTTAATGAGTGAAGTTCTTTTGATTATTCTGTTTTATGTCCTTTGAAATTATAATCGTTAGGTTATCGCTCTACATTCGTTTGATTATCGCCCAATCTGTACTCGGTTAAAACCTGCAACACATACGTTTTCTCACACTTTCATGCGTTTGTCGTTCAGGCTACATTCGCCAAGCACTTGAACACACGAGCATTTACATACGTGCGTAACAAACTATTAATAGCAACATGTGTTTAATAGGTTTTCTGATTATTTACCTGGGGCGCCAGTAAACCATTTCTTCTGTTGGACACTTCACACGATCTCAGTTTACACATTTTCACAAGGATAACTATCATGTCGAATAAATTGTAGTTGAGCGTCACGAATCTTCAAGTTATAGGATGAAAGCCGCTAATTCTGGTTACCGCGTCTATTGTCTTTTTATGAAAAAATAAATAAATAAAAGAATAGGATGTTATTCTTAGCGAAAAGCGAAACGAAAAGCACGCAAACTTACTATTGGTACCAGGACAGTCCGCTTGATGCGTTGTTATGGTAACCTTTGCTTGAAGGCTCAAATCCTTGATCGAACTAAAACGCAGCAATCAACCAAGAAGCGGTAAAATTCGCTTTTTAGTCAAGATATGATCAAGAACAGGGAAAATGTATCAATTTTTATAATTTACTTTCTAGAAAAGCTCTTGCTTATTTTCAAAACGCCACAGCGCGAGACAGGAGCGAAAAACTTGAACTCATGCACGTGAATGTTTGCGTACTACATGTAGTATTCGAGAAACGGAAGTAACATTGCGACTTTTGGTCCATCACTTGGACGAACGTTAAATGAGTAATAAACAATTTTAAAGATTGGGTTTTTAACTGAATTTTATGTCTTGTCTGTCTCCCGAGTTTTATTGACGACTCAGATGATTTGAAATGTCAGACAGGTACAACTGATTTCATCGCAAGATAATGTTTTATAGTCTTTGAGCTGTTATCACTCGAAACGTTTGATTTTTATCAAACGTTCTCTTAGACCGTTAGATGATTGTTTCTTGAAGCCGTTAGTCCGCCCGTTAGAAACGTTCAAAAAAGTCGTTAGGAAAATCAAAGCAAATCCGTTCGAACGCTTTTGTAGGTCGTTAGATTTTTTCGCCTACACGTTCAAACCGTTAGCCAACCCGTCAAGGGCGTTAGAAAAGCCGTTAACAAGCCGTTCGTTAGCCGTTAGTTTTTACCCGTTAAACGGAAAACCGTTAGTGTACGTTTTCCTGGAGAAGGTCACAAATGCTCTTACTGAATTAATTTTGCATCAAAATCGTAAAAAATGACTCCCGAAACACTGTCAATTGAAATGTAAACAAACTCAAACTAAGTGACGTCTTTTATTTTCAAAAAGTTCCTTTTTGATTTTTATCCAACTGATTACTTTGGTAAATACTAAAACAACTATCCCCCTCAGAGTCTGTTCGTAGCGCTAGATATGCAATGTATAACTCAACACTTCGCGACTCTATATATCCACCACTATTTACCTCCCCTTCGTGGCATTTACATCATCTGTGAGAATGTATTAAAAGCATACACATGTACATCATGTATATAAGGCTATTTACGATGCTTTGCTTAGTATTAATATGGGATGCACAAATGTAGATCTTGTTGAAGAGTATTCAGTAGTATATTACCAGTAAAATGATGTGCAATTGAGGTGAATTTCCTAGAAGTACTATACTGGTGGTATATACTTTCTTTGTTCTGATTATTTTATGTTAGGTTCCGACATGAAACAGTACATCAACCTGGTGCTTCAGCAACTCATCACCATTATTAACAGGCCACACACTCCTAAGACACTACAGGAAAATACAGGTAAATGCCAGAGTTTTGTTGAAGTGTAAATTATAACAAAACATGCAGGGTACACTTGGTCTTGTAGTTTTTGTGGCTCAAACGCTTCCTAAATGTACTAATCAGTGAATGGTTCTAAGACTAATGAAAAGAAAAAATAGTGAAGTGGTTTGAGGAAGTATTTGAACCATAACATTATTGACCTTTTTGGCAAACAAAAAATCTTCAGTTAATTTACTCAAGTTATGATAAGCTTTGTGAGTTCTGTGTGTCCTGCTCCAAATGTTGAAAGGGATAGGGACTTAATTAGAACTTTTAAAAAAGGAAAGAAGCAAAAAAGCAAATTTAACCTGGTTGAAAAACAACAAGCTGGAGACAAGGCAAACAAAGAGCTTGCTTATTTCTTTTAAAATCTTTTGGTAATTTTCACTCCATTGAGTCTTATTTTTTACCATGTGCCTGACAGGCTACCAAGGGCCGATTCTACTTATAGCCACGAGGACATCAAAATTAATTCAGTGAAACCTCAATGTAATGAGCCTCTGTTAAGGTTCTCGATATAACAAACTCTTTTCATTTAAAAATAAATGAGAGAAAGAACTTTGATATAATGAAACCTTGTTATAGTGAACATAAAAGTAATGTATAGTGCCAGTCCCTTGGTCCTTCATTATATCAACTTAGGTTCCTCTGTAGTACTCGTTAAAAATACTTTTGAAAGGGTTGTGACCTAGAATGGATACCCCAAAGTCAGATTGTCATCGTCACTCAAAATACATGATGTGGAGTCTTATAACTGAAAGTAGTAAATAAGAGAAGAAAGAAAACAGTAGAAAACAGTAGGTAGTATGTAGGACTTGAACCCGCGTCATTTGGGGTATAATCCATGTCCCTATCCACTACACCATCAAGTGCTAACTGCCAAGACCAGTTAATTTTAACGTACTTTACAGCTGTACATGGTGTTGATCATTACACTACTAAAACAGTGCTTAACCCTAATCACTGTAAATGCTGCTAAGCCCGGTATTCAACTCTTTTCCTTGCACAGCTGTCTCTTACTCTGATTTTCCCACTTTTCTAAAAGTTCTTGTGCCCAATAAATTCACCTTATTAAATAGCGTTGTGTAATAAACATAAGGTGTCCAACCTGATTTGGAGGTATCCATTCTAGTCACAACCCTTTTGAGAGGTACTGTTCATTTTGTTGTGTCTAGTGTTGCTGTGTTATTGCAAGTCAAACTGTTTGATTGTGTAGTATTCAAGTAAAAACCGAATCATTTTCTAAATGTCAAAGTAATAATAATAATCACAAGGACTAGCAGAGGTTCTATTTGACTGGTCACACCATAAAGATTAATTTTGGTCCACAGATTTGTAAACTGCATTACATGTCTCTGTTACTGACATAAAGGGTTGTTTATAGAGTACTAAAGTGATGACGTCATAAAAATGAAATTTCTGAAATTATGGGATTTGTCAGGATATTCTGAAAGAACAATGTCCAAGAGGCTTACTTACCAAAAGTGAGCATTTCAGGGCAAATTGTCTCTGAGATGTTAGCTTGTTATACTCAGAAAACTCCATACAAACCCTTCTAATTTTTTTTTGGGTCGACCCAAAAAAATGTAGAAGAGTTTGTATGGAGTTTTATAAGAATAACTGAGCTACGATCCTAGAGACAATTTGCCCTGAAATGCTCGTTTTTGGCAAGAAGGCCTCTTGGACATTGTTCTTTCAGAATATGCTGACAAAACCCATAATTTCAGAAATTTCATTTTCATGATGTCACACTTTAGTACTCTATTTAAACGAACTCTAACTTAGGCCGCTGTTTAGCAAGTCTTTGGACTACACCTTATGCTTTCATGAACCTTTTCACGAGAAAAAGCATCTGGCAAACCCAAAATGGCTTAGAACACGGTTTTGTTAAAGACTGGCTAAACTCAGTTTAAATACATGTAGCTGGCCCTAAGAGTTTAAGTGAGAACTAAAACAGCAATGGTTTCTCTTAATGTGGTTGTCCTCCACGGTCTTTTTTTTATGGTGGTCCTGTGTTCCCCGTAGTTGAATGAAGACAAGTTATGGTTGCCTGTGAATTGTCTTGGTACTTAATTGTGTCTTTTGTTAACAAGTAAAGTTTGTATCATGTTTAGTTGTCTTGTAGTTTTACAAATACAACCAGGACCATTATACATTACAGGGTGCAAAGAAAGTCAGTTTTACAGCCTGCCATTTGGGCAAGCTGTAGCTAGCATGTACTAGCCCAAAAGTCATTTCAGCTAGCCCCAAAACCCTTTTTGATTGTCAGGATTGATTGCAATCCTTCTGTAATTTGAATTTTGCAAAAACAAACACTTGCCCATCGGGCAAGTTAAGAACAAAAATCACTAGCCCGATAGCAAAATCCACTAGCCCCGGGCTATCGGACACGACTTTCTTTGCTCTCTGCATTATAATAAATTGCTATGTAGTAGTTTGTTACACTTCACTTGTCCCATAGAAAACTGGCGGTGATAAATAATGTTACAGACATTTTTGTGATTAATGAATAGTAGCGTGAAATCATTGTGCTATCTTCCACTAACACAAATCATTAAACCTCCAAACTTCATGTATGAGTGTGTTCAACCTCGAAGGGCACAGTCATGTTTATTGTCTTGGCCGTGACTTTGTGCTGCTATGTCTGTGTGCTTTAATCGTTCTGATTGCATGACTTTGTTTCTTTTCTTGTCAATTAACGTGTTTTTAGCTATCACAATCGGTCGTCTGGGGTTAGTTTGTCCTCAAGAAGTGGCTCCTTTGTTACCGCAGTTTATTCAGAAGTGGTGTGTATCGGTGTTTTTCCTTTTATTTACATGTGGTGCTTTGACTGTCATTTGTCTTGGTTTGTTTATGTTTTTGAAGTGGATTCTCTTGTTTGTGGCTCAGCATTAACATTGCATTTATTATTGCATGTTGTACTTTGTCATCAGCATCCAGGTCTTTAACTTTTTTTCCATTAACGTGTGAATCAGCAGTCCTTAACAACTGGTAACTCATCTTAACCCAACTTAAACCTTTGTTTCCCAGGTGCACGTCTCTGAGGAACATACGTGACAATGAAGAGAAAGACTCCGCATTTCGAGGCATTTGTAACATGATCGGTTTAAATCCTGGTGGAGTTGTCCAGGTAAAATAATTTTTTATTAAGGTATTATTTTTATGAAGAAATTAATAGTTGTTGTGTGACACTTTGTTTTCAGTAATGCATTCTAACCGCTTTTGTGGCTACCTCTCAGTAATTTCTGCGGTAAAACCACTATACTTATTGATAGTACATGTACTGACGTGTGGATCATCAATTATAAATCAATAATTGAGTGGAAACCTTAAGTGGCATGATAATAATCAGATTACTTCCACTATCTCTTCTTTCAACTTCCAAGTTTTCCTATGAAGTGATTTAACTTGTTTATGAGTCATCTTGCATTAGCACTTGTCTGACTAAAATGTTGCAAGGCAACATGTACAGAGCACCCATTCATGGGGACCGCAGAACCAATTTTGTAATCAGTTGAGTCAATCTGATTGTTTATGATGCTTGATTATGAAATATTAGCCAATTCCTAGCACTACCCATTGGAACCTAAAGTAAGTGACGACATCTTGTAACCAACAACCAAATCTTGGCATTTTTGGTTGGTCATGCACAGAAGGTTTCACTACAACTGGACAGATGTATTTCAAAACCTGTGTGGAAATCTGTTTTGTGACTTTTTTCTGCTGAATTATTGTTACAGGATTTTATATTCTTTTGCGACGCTGTTGCATCCTGGGTGAACCCAAGTCCAGACCTAAAGGATATGTTCCTCAAGGTACGTTTTATTCTTCTCTTCTGGGGAGTGCATGCCCTAAAGACCACAAAAAAACTTTTCTGTTCTGGGCCAGTGTACTTTATTTTGTAAGCTCAATTCATAGACCCAGCTTTTCCATTCTGTTCCCACATTGACTCAGCACCACAGTTATCCCCTCCTACATAATTATAAGATTGCCACTTTTGCCACTTTTACCTGTTACCTGTTATAATCCAAGTGAAATTTCATCCTTGACTAACAGCAATGTAACATAATTCTCCACTCCTTTAGATCCTTCATGGGTTTAAAAACCAGGTAGGGGAAGAGAACTGGAAACGCTTTTCAAGCCAGTTTCCAGCTGCCCTCCGAGAGCGCCTGTCTACCAATTATGGAGTATGAGGAAGAGCCATTTTTGGCAGGGTAAGTTGCATTAAGGTAAAGTGTAAAGATACCTGTCATTTTTTATAAGCATTGGCTGCACCATCAATTTTTAAGCTGTATGTTCATCAGTCAGTTATTTTAATGATCACAGAGACATAATTATTTCCACACAAAGTATACACTTGCAAAAGGAGCATTAATTTATTATCAGGGAGTGGGTCTTAAAAACAGTTACTCGCTGGGCAAGTAGCTTTTAAAGGGTACTTGCCCTTTGGGGAAAGGTTCAGGTGAGTCACAGGCAATGTGAGAGTTTTATGCCCAAACTATGTGCTGGAATTCAAGTTGGTTTCACTAGCTGGGGAGATAACAGTGTTCTGAGGCTCTCCGCTTTGGATGTCAGAATTTTTAAGTAATAACAGTGCCTCCGATGTTTGGGACATAAATAGGAATAACAATTATTTCATCATACATGTACATTACATGTGCAGATTTTGCAATAGTTAGTCACATGATTAACTTTTTGTAGATGTGAAAACAGTTTGCTCTGGAAAAAATGCTGTTAGCAGGAACTTAAAGAGGATAAAAATTATCAAAAGTAGGGGACCTGTTAATTTTAAGTTATACATCCCAAAAGTAGCGATTGCAACAGCTGTTGCGAACAAGAAAGATTTGTATGGGAAAAGCAACTCTTGCCACCCAGTCACAGTTAATTTCATTTTCCTTACAAATCCTTGTAAAGTTTGAAATTTTCAAATTCTTGTAAAATCGTTCTTTGAGCATTCCTGGGATCAAATTTTATGTTGTTCATAACAAACAATGTGAGTGCTTTAGTCCGGTCGATGCCCTTACTATGGTTGACAGTACACTGTATGTGCTGCAAAAAAGAAGAAGAAAGAAATTAGTAGGCAAAAAAACAAACCATCCATTTATTTTCTTGTTCTCAGGTGGGGATAAATCAGGGCCTTGTAGATGTTGCCCAGTTCAACCGTGTCGTCCTAAGTTCACGTCATGTTCCCGTACAGTACAAGTCTGTGTTTAATAACTAATGGATGTAACCGTATTATTGGGGGGACAGCAGTATCAGCCAGTCATTGATAGCTAGTACTTTGTTTGAGTACCAATGATGTTACAGTATTGTTGGGGGATGAGAACAGTCATCTTTCAGTCATTGATAGCCAGTATTTGTCAATGAAGTCAATGCGATCAGTCTTTGTGAACCTAGTGCGAAATTCAAGTGGTCGTACCAGTGAGATGTGTGCTAATTGTGCTGTAGACCCAATTGCATCCGTGTTGTCATAAGTCATCTGTTGTGACGTTATAAGTCAAGTGCTGCAATGTACAGTAGCATTGTCGCTGAAGTGCGGTAGAATGTCTGTTATTTTTGAAACCTGCAGCGAATCAAGTCAACTGTCGTATTGGTGGGTTTTGGACAATATAATTGATTCTTAAATCAGCTTAGTGCAAGTTCTGTTTCTATAAAGCTGCTCTTTTACTACCGTTAGAAGAAAACTGTACTTTAACTCAATAATGACTTGCGTAATGAAGTTCTATCTACTGCACTTGGATAGATCCGGGCTGAGTTGTTCAAAAGGCAAGTATCGCAAATCTAAGGTTAGCTGCCTTAAGAACTGGTTTACAGTTAACACGGTGCAGTACACAACTCAGCTCCAAAATAGTTAGCATGAGAAAACAGCCGATATTTTGTGACGCGGCCATCAGTATGGAATTTCTGCACTTGTTTCTCAGTTGTCATTTCGGGGGGAAACCAGTGGTGATGTTGGAAGTTGTTGGCTGTTTTTTCAGGCTACAAATTAATAGTAAGCAATGTAACACTGTAAATAATCCACTTAGCTACAGAGGGATCCCTTAACTTTGCCAGCTTGTTAAGTGATTTTCTTATTGAACGTTCCGGTTTCGTATTGTGAAATGACCACCCACTATAAACCAGGAACAGTATTCTATGAAGTATTTGATTATTTTGAGATGCCGTGAAATGCAAGCTGTAAGTTCCTTGAATATCTCCAAAAGACTTTTTTTTTCTTGAAATTTGTTCATTGTTTTGTCATTATTAGGGTTTGGGTTATTTTTACCAAGACAAGTGGATCCTCAAACGCTGTTTCATCAGATTATCATTTCAAATATTATTACCGGTAATTTTGCTCTAGTCATTCAAGAGTTTTCTTTCAGTTCCCACAGAAAAAGGTCCTTAATCCTGTCATAATCATATGATAAACGAAAATTGAAATTACAGGATAGAAAAAACTTTTTAAACACAAGCTTTCAATTCCATTGCAGAATCTTTATCAAGTTGATAGAGATAACACAATGAATGGAAAGCTTGTGTTTAAAAAGCTTTTCTATCCTGTAATTTGAACCTTCGCTTATTAGTTTTCTTTCTGTGTAGGTTACAGTTTCCTTGCTGAGTAAAAGCCAGGTTTTTAGTACATAACTACACCGTGATCAGCGATAACATTTCCTTCTGATTTTACTTCAAGCTTATGAAATCTTAGAGTGATGATACTTTTATCAGTTTTGCTTGGTACTGTTTATATCTCAGTCTCTGATTTCAAAACCAGCAATACCATCATTTTTTTTACCAGGAAATACTGAGTATAAATGAAAGCCTAATAAATCAAATTGTGTTCATTCAAATGAAACTTTTCATAACAGTGAAATATTTTTTGCCACACCCTCTTGACTAGGTGTAGGTATTCACTTTGATCATTGGTAGAAGCGACGGGTTCCCTCTGTAGTTACCTAATTGAAAATGAAATTTGTTACCCATCTGTATTATAATTTATAATGTCAAGTGTACAGCTGGACTAACACTGCAATTATTATAAATCTAGACATCCTGTAAGCGTTTGTAAAAAACAATTCATGAAATCTTTTACTGACTAAGCCGCTATTATAGTTCTGTGTTTGAGTAGTAAAGCCTTAAAATGACTGTCAGCTGGTCTGATCAGTTCTACATGACATTTTACAGAGAAAAGGCTTCTTGCTGGACACTAGCCTTAGATCTTATGTCTGTTAAGGTCAATTTAGACAGTAAAACGTTTATGACAACCAATGTGCTTACAGCATAAGACCATTGCATAAATAAATACTGTACTTGTGACCATTGAGAATGTGCTCTTCAAATATGAAAGGGACCCATTGCTCTTCACCTGAGAAATCCAGGGTGCCTAGCATATGATTTTTATGAACGAACTAAGATTTCCTTGTTGCCTAAGAGCTGTTAGAGCAAGCCCTGGAGGTCATAAGTTCAGATGAGACAAAGTTATACAGTCTAATGTGACCTTAATCAAGGTATCTACTCAACACGATCACACTGAAGGAACTGTTTTAGCCTTGTTTTGATAACATTCTGAGTACTGTACAGAAGGAGGTAGTTTCTATAGTAAATTTTCTTGAAAATACAGAGGGGAATAGTATTGTTTCCTCTACATATTTTTGTCTTTAGATTATTCCCAGTGGAAATCTTAGTTTTCTTGACACTTAACAGCCAATAGATGGCAACCTGATTTTATATTCCTTTCCAGGTGTAATGGTCTCTGTTTTGAGTCCAAACTTCGACCTAAGGGTCTGACTATTTTGTTTGAGTTTGCAGTGAAATTGGATCCTGTGTTTGATAAGAAAGGGACTTGACTGGCTTTTCTTGAAAGCCATGTATCTTGTGCTTAAAGTTGAAGCTAGTTAACCAAAAACCGTGAGTGTCCTATTTACAATTTCAGATTAACTTAGGTTTCTGTGAAACTGCCCACCTACCCCTCCCCTAACCTAACATTTCGCCCCAAGTGAGTCGTAAATGTTAACGTCGAGTTAGGGAAGGGGTAGGTGGGCAGTTTCAATTGATCCACAATTTCCATTTTCAGACTTTGTGTTTGAGATTCAGAGCCCTTTGTTTATCGATAAAATACACTACTTTTAGTTTTCTCAGTTCCCAACATTTATTTCCAAAATGCCTTCTTTGATGAATGTCAGTGTTACTAAAGCAAAGCTATAACATGTTCCTTGATTCTTTGCATGTCTCTGCGATACAACAATACCTTTTCTCTTATAAAGATAATTGCAAGAACCATTTTACAGCTTGCTGAGTCATGATTTGCAATCACATAGTGAGTGATAACAACAGTACTTTGTATTCGTTATTTTGACTGAAAGTCAGTCAGACATAAAAAAAAAACTTTGATACTAGAAGTCTTTCAGGAATGCTAATGTGTCATGCAAAACCAACCCGATCAAGATGAGTTACTTGCATGGATGCCAGAGTGGCTTAGGCAGTCATCTTGTCTCATAGTTAATTTTGTAACATAATTAGCATTCCAGGGGCAAGTTAGCCTGTGCCAGGCGTTCAGATAGTAGAGTACAGGAGAAAAATTTGTCCCCCCCCGTTTTCCCAGTGTACAATTTAACTCGCTCCCCACTGACTTCCATGCTCTACTATCTGAATGCCTGGAACAGGCTAGGGACAAATTGTTTGAACCATGTAATTAGAAAGTTACTTACTACGGTAATGCATTCTTTATTTGTAATTTTCACCCATAATTAGAATTGTTTTCAAACAGCACAGCCCAGACCTGACCTTCATTATTCAATTGTACTAAAGTTTATTAGGAAAGTATTTGAATTGGAGTTGAATGATTCTTGCAGTGTTGCATCAGACAAATGTTATTAATAGGTTCAGTATTTTAGGAAGTTATTATTATTTTATTACGTTTTGGTAATATATATATATACATATATATTTTAATTATGAGATAAAGAAATTTTTAGGAAGTTCATGTTTTATAGTTTTGTATAAGAATGTAGTAACAAGATTAATGTTTAACTGCTAAGTGAACAAATAAGATTTAATTCAGTGTAAGCTGAAAGTTAATATGTGGAAAGACTTCTTACTGAATGCAAAATCCTTTTAGTCTTGATCTTTCAGTTTTTTATTTGATCAAAATGCCTTTCTTGTTTCCCTGCAACTGGTTAATGGGGCCGAAAAAAGTATAAGTGAAGGCCAAAAGTTTGTCTTAGTCATGAACGTTATTTGTTTCTTTTGAAATACCTTTTTTCATGAGTAATTTTAGAGGCCACATCTTTTGAATCTGTCCTTGGTACTCTAACAGACTGGGAATGTGATCATCATACGTTTCTGGGAAACTGCCCACTTACCCCTCCACTAAGCTAACATTAACACTTACTTCTCACTTAAGGCAAGAAGTTGGCTTAGGGGAGGGGTAGGTAGGCAGTTTCCCAGAATTGCATAATGATTCGTTAACATTACCTTTACCAACCAATCCAACCCTTGTTTTAGACCTTGAATTTGAATTTTATAACGACATGAAATGTTCAGGGAAAATTGGATTGATCAAGACTTTAAGGACAGTGTTCTTTTTTAATGTTCTGTCTACATATAAAAAGTCTCTAATGTTTGTAAATCTGATAATAAATCTAGTTCTTTTTTTCTGAAAACTAGAGAAATGGCTTTAATTTGTAGAATCTTCAGTAAAAGAATTGCACGTTCATTTGCAATGTACCTAGGACAAAACAGCGTACAGCCCACTGCTTCTCAAATACATGACTATTCTATTTTTTTTAGCCATTTTTCTTTTTTCGTTGTTAAATATTTCCGAATATTTATTTTCTACCTCTAAGAAAATTGTCAAATTTTTGCAGTCTTTGTTGTCGAAATTTCAAGCACCGAATAAGAGTTTTAGACCTGGATTCAAACCTTCAAGGCAATTCGAAATTACAGCGTTAGATTAACAAACGTTTCTAAATTATATAGGGCATAATTTTCATTTCTCGAACGTGTTATTGTATAGTTACCTATTCAGTTTTGTTTACTTTGACTCAATTTGTTTCAAGTACTTTAATTTAATTAATAATTGGATTCAATATAATATAGCTAACAATTTAATTATACCAATGGGCTCTAGGTAATAAGTATTTGTCTGCATATCTTCTAACTTTACTGCCGCACCAAAGCTTTATGTTCTTGTCGATTTGTTCCGGGAAATTTTGTCCTATAATTTAAGTGTTTATAACTTTGAGTGTATAGTTCTTTTTCCAGTTCAGAGAAACAACAAAAGTTGGTAGTTTTCTATAATTCTCACTACCTTCTTGTTCAACTTGGATTGTTTTTAAAATGAAAAAAAAAAAAAGAGCTATTCATCAAAGGTCTATGCTTCCATTGTATTAATTGTTTATAGCCCCCAAACCAGCTGGTCTGTGTTTGTATGTTTGTTTGTTCACAGGAACACCACGCAGTTTGCGTGGTGGTCCTGTTGTCCGTCTAGAGCTCTGTTTTCAATGTCGTTGCTCGTTTCATGTGTGAAACTGCGAAATGTTATTTCTATATATATTTAAGTAAATGAGAATTATGATACTATTATCAATTAATTAATGGCGTTTTAAAATTGTCCGCGAGAATATTTGTCGAGAATTACAGTATTGCATGTTCTGGGAAGATACATGTTTAATAAATGTCAAGTTTTAAATGTTGCTACCATTGTGACTTTGATTGGGTCCTACCGTATTTCCTCTAGCAGGCTCTCTCTTTAGTAATTTTCTCTGTATCCAATAAAGCAGCCTTTCTGAAAGGAAAAAGAAAGTTGACATTGGGTTAGTATGGTCGATGGGTACGAGACATGACATCATAATAGGGTCATGTAGCAGCTGCTCGGAAGAGAAGTCACCAATAGTACCTAACCCTGACCCCAAATAATACTGAAACAATTGAAAGAATGACATGCCATTGTTTTCTGGGACCAATCAGGAGAGATCTTACGGGCAGCTCCTGATTATTTTACAGTAGAACCCCGGTAACCCGAACTCTGAAAGGAAACGAAAAACAGTTCGAGTTATCGGGGTAAATTTCAGTGAAATGTGATCAAGGGAAAGGAAATTAGGTTTGAGTTGGTAGGGAATTCGACTTATCGAGGTTCTACTGTATATGAGTAAGCTGTTTAAAGGAGCTCTGTCACAAGGATGTTGCTGTGTAAGGTCAATTCTGTGCTGAAGTCAGTACCCGGTACCTTTACCCGTCATGACCCATACACAAAATGCCCCTTTAGAGTCATGAAGATGTCAAAAAGAAATTTCATCAGGGAACACTAACCACAATATTTGTTGGGTATTTTTGCAGGAATGGCATGAAAACTTGAGAAGTTTGGCCCAACTTTTTCAAGTTTCAATCCATGTCCATCCGTTGCAAAAGACGACAGGAAACAGTTGTTTAGTCTGCTACACAGCCGTTTTTAGTGTCGTCACGCAACGCTCTTCCTTGCGTGACGATACTAGAAACGGCTGTGTAGAAGACTAATCAAAACTGGACCATTATTTTTATTGATGAGAAGACACATTTTAGCGTTTCAAAAAGATAGCAAATAGCTTGACATAGCTCCTTTAAGGTACGAAAGACAACGCTAAGTCCAACGAAAGTGGCTTCCCATGATCAATTTTGCGCTCCTGCTATTGGTCAATTCGGTTTTTAGATGCGCGCGTGCAGAACGCGTAAACGGTTGCGCGCCGTCGTCATTTTGTCTCAACCTCGTTTCTAGGGCCCTCAAGTCAAAAGAACACTTTCCAACAGAATAGCTTTATTTTTTGCATTCTGAACGAAAAGGGAGATATGGTTTTCAGTTTACTGTAACATGTAAAATTGGGAGTCTATCCTGGAATACGTTTGCTTTCAATCACGTGCTGAGCTCAAACTGTTGTTTTTACATATCCCGCGGGAAACGCGGGGTGATCAAATGGTAATCAATCAATGACCTTAATTGATACTAGAATTAGAGATGGCGATAAGAATTAATACTAGGCTCCTGTTAATACTAATATCTTTGAGGATAAATAGCTGAAAAATATTAAATCAAAAAAAATTAAAGCTCCTGATAATGAAAGAAATAGTTAAATTACAGAATATGAATAAGTAATTGATCAAGTTACCAATAAAGAAAAAATATCACGAAATACCGACTCTTTATAATGGCAGCAGGCAGCCATTAGGGTTGCATAGCTTGCGATTCGAGTGGCGATTGAAGACTCTTTTTCTGCAGTCCGTCGAGCAAAACGCAAGACACGCAAATGGCCACACGCGAGAGAACGCCCCTCGCTCTCGTGTCTGATTTCACGTGCTGCTAGCGCGTTACTTTTCACTAGATCCTAAATCGAACGCCCTGCTCGCAGGCAATGCGTCGCACTGGTGATGACTATTATAAAATTAATATGATGCCGGGAACGCTTGTGTCTTGGGAACGCTCGCTACTCTTATGTGATCTGGTATGCCGCTACTCTTTATGTGATCTGGTATGCTGCTGTTAATTTTGGCATCGATTTCATCCATATACTTCTCAAACTGGAATTTTTTTTTCAAGCTTCTAGTTTCACCCGGGTGAAACTAGAGACTTGAGCCGAAAAAACCGGATGCTCTCAATGACTTACGGAATGTAGCTAAATGTCGTTTTATAGCTTTTTATTAACCATGCAACCATAGCTAATGACGCCAAACATTATTGCACAGCTGACTTGTATGTCTTGTAGTAATTATTTTAATTTGATTTTTAAAGAAACCGGAAAACGCGGGCTCAAACAACAATGAGTCACGCAAGTTGGTCACGCTATGTTCTGAGACAAGAAACCACACCATTTTGCCTGCGTTAACAGAACTGTTGTCGTCTACATAGTGCTCGATAGCACATAAAGAGCAAGTGGTTTTGCTTACCAATTTCCCCTCTGTGAATGCGATAGTCATGCAAAGCTACAGAATGTTTGCAGTTTATTTTGTATTCTACATTGTGGCATGGATAGAGTTCTGTTCAGCAGCTCTCGTGATCCGAGTTTCCAAAATATCAGGAGGGGATAGGACTTCATGCCGTGTTTCGGATGCAACAAGTCCGTGCAAAACCATCAAGTTCGCTCTGGGTGCTCTTGAAGAAACCAAAAACCACAATGAAACAATCTTCACTTTTTCCATCGAAGATAAAGTATATACGCTCAAGGAACGAGTCAGTATTACTCAGACAAGCGCCTTGAGAAACATCTATCTGAAATCGAATGACTCGAGAAGTAGGTCGGTTGTTCATTGCGGTTCACGATTTGCTGGAATTGAAGTAGGAGCATCGGATATTTACGCAAGGAATACAAGAAATGTTCATTTTGTCAACCTTGAATTTCAGAACTGTGGTAGCCCTCGCTTTGCCGCTGTTGTGTTAATCTGGAATTCAATAAATGTCGACTTTACGAACTGCGTTTTCAGACATAACACGCAAGCGGCAATAAACTCCTTTGACAGTGCGGTGGCAATTGATACTTGTCTTTTCTCGAATAACACTTCCAACCTACAGAATCCAAGCGAACAGTACAGGAGAGGAGTTAATTCAGCGGGCGGAGGTGCCGGCTTTTTGTTTCGTGACTCTGCAAATCTTACGGTGGTCGTTAAAAATTCTGTCTTCGAATCTAATGCTGCCGTGACGAATAAATCAAACGATTTCATCGCTCCGTCTTCGAACGTGACGCACTTCTCTTCGTGTGGCGGCGGACTTCTCGTAGTGTTCAGCAACAAGGCAGAAAACTGCCAAGCTTTGATTGATAATACCGTCTTTAAAAAAAATACAGCAACATACGGAGGGGGACTTTACCTTGCTAACACCAACTTGGCCGTAAGAAACAGTTTTATGGTAACAAACTCAAACTTCACAGGCAATCAGGCGGGGCAAACCGGAGGAGGTGCGCTTTTCTCCCAATGGGACAAAGCTTCTAAGATTACTACCATCTATAGAAAATGTATCTTCAGCGAAAACGAGTCACAGCGAGGAGCAGGAATGAATGTATTTCTAATGAACTACGACGTAACGCCGAATGACTCCATTCTAAGGTTAGTTCTTGTTGTGTTGAGGCTGAGCCTGTGTGTTTGAGCCACTTAGCTCTTCTCTCTTGTTATAAGCCACTGATCGATGAATTCTGAAGGTGTAAAAGGGAACTAGAAATTGCGGATTTTTGGACTGGGGATTTTGGGATTTGATTGACTGAGACTGGAACTTTTTTGGCTCTGAAAACATGTTTGTGTGTACTTGAATAGGACACTGGGATCTGAAGAAAATAACTCCTCCCTCCCTTGGGACGCTTTAGTTTGTGGGAGGGGACGCACGCAAAGATAGCGCAGGGCACCCAGTTTTTCCTCCCGTGCAACTTGCGCCAAGCAAGTTCTAGTTCACGACATGACGGTGTTTGAAGACCAAGCATCTTTCTTTTTTTTAAGATTCGACACTGTGACATTTAGTAATAATATTGGGAATGCAAGCACCGCCATACGGTTTACCACAGCGCTGCCTTTCGCTAGAGGAGTGGACATGACACCAGAATTTACAAATTGTACCTTCAATAATAACAACATGTCGAATTACGCACGCACAAGTCCCTTCACCAGCCAACGTGTTGATGTGAATTTCACTGGGAGGAATATTTTCCAGCAGAATTACGGAGGTAATGTCTATGGTACCACCCCTCTTGCATTAAAAATACTTGTATATGTACGTATGTATAACGTATGATCCACAAATGTCCAAAGGATCGGATGACACTATTAATTTTCCAGAATAATCTACTTTCCAGTGGGTTCGGTGAAGGGTATCCGAAACTTGATTTGCTGTTTCAGCGTAGAGAGTTGTCTTTTGGTTAGCGCTTTTTTACATTTCTTCAAACCACGGAGGCAGACCGCTGAGGGGATTTTATACAGTCCGTGTTAAATGTATTAGCCTGCGTAGCAGGCGCCTCAGTTATTCTTTTTTTTCTTTAACAGGCCGCGCGAGGGGAACACGCGAAGGGGAGAGGGGCCCCCCTGATTTTGTTTAAGGGGAGGGGGTGGCTACACACAGGCCTTATTTTGGAGATTTCGCACCCTTTTTGTTTTTCCCCCTCCCCCTCCCCCTCCCTTTTGCAGTACAAGTGTTGTTGTGGCCACCTAACGTTGCAATCAGATCTCAACATTGCTGAGGGAAAGCAAAGTGCATGGGTGCCTCAAAAAGTTTTGGCGAGGACTGTGGTCTATCTAGCGCCCTTGTCCGCAAGAATTTATGCAATTCAAATAGAGGCTGTATAGTGTCTAGGCCACTCGCAATTATGATGCTCTGTTATTCACTCTGATTGATCGAAGTGTATCCTTTTTTGGTCTGCTTTTTGCCATTGTTCTGTATTGAAAACTGCTATTGAATTAAAAAGGGTACAGCTTTCAAAATACCATGCCTGTGTTGAGCCTGCAGCCTTCTGAATGGTAGAAGGAAAGGGCCAAATTGGCCATTTTCTCGTTTTTCTGGAGACCATCACTGATTGCAACACGGGATTCCGGCGATGGCGTAGACTGCAAAACAGTCGTTTTTTTCCCATCAAAATCGGTTTAGCTCAGGCTAAAAAAGAGTCTCACACGCGTGAAGCGCGCGATCCTCACACGCCCGCACGCCCGGTCTCCCAGTCTCGCTCTCCGTTTTCAGCCTCGCTCCAGAACTTTTGTTTGACTGCTCGCGCGTACTTGAATACGCAAAATACGGACTCTTTTCCAGTGTAGCGATGGCGCGGTCTAGCGGAAACACTGCAGAGATTTTTACTACTTGACAGAACGTGTTTGTTTTTCTCTAGGTGGGGCAGCTGCCTTTCAAGATTGCGTCCTTAATGTTCACGGCCATTTGACATTTGCCAATAACACAGGCTCTAATGGAGGCGCCTTGTTTATGCGTTCGAGTCAGATCATACTGCATCCAGGCAGTACAGTGGTGTTTCTAGGCAACAGAGCTCGTGGTGTGGGGGGTGCTATCTTCGTGTGGGAGCACCTGATGGCCGAGTTTATACACGTGAACAATCCCGACTGTTTTATTGCTTACAGTGATCCAAAATTGCCGCCATCAAAATGGAAGGTTAGCAGTATTTCGTAGGGTTGTTTTGTAGTTCATGTAAGGATCGAGAAAGCGTACGTAGCAGGCGCTTAGAAGTAACAGGAAACTTAAGCAACGACGACGGCGACGGCGACGGCAACGAGAACGGTAAAAAAGCAATCGGTTTATCTTTGCAAAACAACAACTTTGCACGTGCATCACGCTTTTTTGTACATTTCTTTGCCTGTACCTTGCATTTCCGTCTCTTGTCCCCCTTTTTTTTTACTTCCTCCCTTGAGGGTCTGAATGGGGGTACCTCGATAACACTAAACACTTCATTTTTTGGCTTTGTAACATGAAACAGTTAAATTTTAGGCATTTTAACACTAACAGTAAAACATTCTTTGAAGCAGTAAATTGTTTTCCGCAAAGAAAATAGCTTGCGTAGCAGGCGCTTGGAAGTAGTGGGCGAATGTGAGGACGGGCGCGCGCGAGGGAGACACGCGATGGGTGTCTCCTTCTCGAAAGGCCCGTTTTTTCTTGACTTCCAAGCGCCTGCTGCGCAGGCTAGAAAGAAACAGAAACGGCTCCAAAAAGGCCAATACTATTTTGTTTAGTATATCAAGGCGTTTTTGGCCATTTTACGACAATGCCGGATTATTTCATAAGATTTCCGAAGGCAACTGACGATTCCCGAAGGCTAACGAAGAGGTCCGACCATTGCCGAAGATGACCGAAGAACCCTTCAAACACTTAACAGTATTTTCTTCGGAAACAGTAAACATTAAAAAATTGGCCAATTTAACAGCAAACATGAAAATTATGGGCAAATATCACTAAACACTAAACTCCATTCAGACCCTCTCCCTTTAGACCTTTTTCGATTGCAAAATATTAAGCGTTGTTAAAATGTCCCCCAATTTCTCCCGCTTCTTACCCTATTGGAGTCCCACCTCCTGCCATATCATCTCCCGTCTCCCGCTCTCTTCTCGGCCCTTATCTCTTGGACTCCCGGCACCTCTAAGTCCTTCCCCACTAAACTACATGAAATGATTTAGCAAATATTTCTTTATTTATTTATCTATTTTCATAGACGAATGTGTCCTTCATTGAGAACAGCAGTGCATATAAAGGGGCCGCTATTTACATCTCTTCGCTTCAACGTTGTTTGTGGACGGAATATTATCCATTCTATGACCCAAGAAAAGCTCTTCGCTGGTACGATAATTTCGTTTACAGGAACAACTCTCTTACCTGGAACGGCGGAGTGAATGCCTTGACTGGAACTGAGTTTGATATCGCCACCGACACGAAACGTTTCCAGGCAACTGAGATAAAAAATTCTACATTAAAGGTGAATTTAAGTGTTTCAATCGTGCTAGTATAATAAACTTGTTAATTGTTTATTTTTTTTTATGAGAAATTTTTCGTTGACAGTGTACTTTGTAACCAAACCAAGAGTTTTGAAAATGGTTAGAAATTCGCACACAAAAAATCACAAATTTTCCACGCAAAGCGAAGTCCAAAGGCCCTCGCGTAGTGGATCACGAGGCAAAGCCAAAACCTAAGTTGGCCATATATATTAAATATCTTGGTTGGAATCCGCAATGACGTCATCAAGCGACAAACTGATCCGTTGTATTTGGGGCTGTTTTGAGGATCAAGAATTGCTTATGGCAATGAATTTATAAGACGGCAGAAGTATTTTACACTAAGTTCTGCTTTTTTAACGCCCTTGTTTTAGCTCACGCCCGGCGAACAGTTCTCTTTGAATCTGCAAGCTCTCGATGAACTCGGCCACGAGGTCTTTACTATGGTTTACGTGTCAGAGGTTGGCCAGGTCAGCAATTACACATCAGAGGTGTTGCTTGGCTACACCATGTATGCCATTACCCCAGAAAAGAGAGTGCCTTTTTCGTTTACTGTACCTAAAACCTTGTATGATGAGACGAGGAACAAAATGCAGACGCGAATTATTCAGTTTGTGGACCCCTTTTCTACGCTGGGGAATGGATATTCGTTTGAAATGGAACTACAACCTTGTCTTCCTGGTTTTAAATACGAAGACCACACTCAAGGATGCGTTTGTGATACAGACCACTTTGGAGTGCAAAGGTATTAAAAAAACAAAATAGGACCCTCAGAGTCTAAGACACAGATGACTACGAGAACAGGATTTTCTCAATGCTAGTAGTGAACGCGCGTAGAGCAGCGTCATTAGGGACTTAACAGGAAGCTTAATCATCGACGACGGCGACCGCAGCGAAGACGTCACTTTTAAAATGAATTCGCGTTTTTTCAAACTTTGTCGCGTTTATTGGAATCCGCAGAAAATGTCAAATAAAGTCGAATTTTCCCAGTGTTGATTTCTTGGGGACCGCAGAGAAAAGCGTGAAATTAGGCATTTTCACGTCGTAGTCGGGCAGTGACGGCAAAGAAAATGTACAAAAAAGGGGGATGCAAGTGCAAAGTTGTTGTTTTGCTAATCAAACCATCGTTGCTATGGCTCCCTAACGATCCGACGACGCAACGGCAACGAGAACGTCAAAAAAACGATGGGCCAGTTATTTAAACGCAGTTTAGCCCGTGTTTAACAAAACCGTGTTCTAAGCCATTTTCATAGCCCAACGCTTATATCTAAACACTATCAGTATCGTGAACAATTTCAATAAAGCATATAGTATGTACTAAAAAGAATTATGTAGACTCAGAGAGTGCTATCCTTTCGGATCGTTTTGACGTTATTCTGCTCTTTTGACAGATGTGAGGATGGCCGCACAGTGTACCTCAAGGAGGGCTTTTGGGGTGGTTTGAACAAGAGAGGTGACTTGGTGACGTACTTTTGTCCATTCCAGTACTGCAATTGTACAAGCACGCCTGGATTGCCCGGATGTTTATTTGATCCAGATAACATTGACCGCCAGTGCGCCGATAACCGTGAAGGATGGCTGTGTGGAAAGTGCAAGGTCGATACTAGCGTGGGATTGAGGTAATTGCTTCTACGGATCCGGGGGAAGCAGGGGTCCGGAACCCTCTTAATGGATCCATTAGATCATAGATTGTTTCGATTTACTAACAGATTAATTGCTTTGAGTCCGAAATTGCTACCACAATGTATGTTACTCAATCACATGCATGCGTATTCAAATTGGCCTGTAATGAACTCACAGTCCTTGTCACGTGCGCGCTAGCCGTGACGAAGAATGAAGTTGCACTCCTTCCCCCGCCCCACTCCGTTTATCATAAATTCTCTGCCTTGGCGAACTGACATAAAGCTGCAACTTCTGGTGACAAAATCATTGGCCTTTATGTCAAAAATACGTTGTGGAACTGCTTAAATTTAATTTTGCTGATAGGCCAGCTTTTCGTGGTTTTCTGGAACAGATTTTAAATTTTTCAACCGTGAATTGTTTTTTTTTTTAAATTCCTAGTAACGCTGTGTTGTTTTAAGCAGATAGCGGAGCTTGATAGGAATGAGATAGAATTGGATTTGTCCTTTGTAGTCCCGCGTTCAGCTCCTCGGTTCGCCTCCTGCCAGTTGGGATTGTTATCCGTGTTATGCAGATTTGCATTATTTGTTTTATCATCCCTGAGATAGACTACGAGTAGTCTCTCTTTTTTTCTGCAGGACGTCCGTCGAGCAAAACGCGAGACACGCAAATGGCCACGCGCGTGACTGATGGCGCGAGACGGGAGAGGCATAAAAAGGGAGATCTCTTTTCTTCTCGGGCTGCCGCCCTCGTTTCACGCGTTTCGCGTCTCGCGTCTCGCACTCCCCTTACTAAATCTGAAGAAAAATAGAGACTGCTGGCAGTCTACCCTGGGAAGCCCCCCAAGGGGATAAGATAATAAGGGTGAATGTATATATTCGAACTTAAGTATAGCTTAAGTAGCACAGTCAGTAGATGCATATGCAAGTTAAAATGACATTTCCCTTTATTCATATTCACTTCAGAAACTCTTTAACCCTTTAACCCCGAGATTGAATGATGGAATCTTATGAGGTGCTTCTAACTTTTGAGTCTGTGGACAAAATCCTATGGTGTTACCTCTCAAGTGAAGCATCTTTAGCAGTACTTTCACGTTGTTTTAATTTTTTAAGCATTTTGTAAACAAAACTTGTTTTTTTTTGTGCAATTTTTATATTGGCCCCTTCTGAGAGTACAAGGGTTAATTCCCTTTTTCTGCCAGGTCAAGCGAGTGCATCAGCTGTGAAAAATCCGGTTGGGTGCTGATTGTGGTCATCCCAGTTGTAATCGGTCTGTGTGTACTGATCATCTGGCTCAATCCCGGCATCTCTAGCGAGCTAAGAGGACCCCTGTTTTTCTTCCAAGTGCTCCCCTACATTTTCGATCCCACCAGCTACATGGAGGGCGTGGCATTACTATCAGCGGATATGTTCAACTTTGGAGGCCCCCTCATCTATCTTTTCAGGACCTGCATAGTTGAGGGATTAGACAACTTATACGCCATTGCCTTTGGCTACATGATTCCATTTTTGGCTCTGTTTGTCTTTGTAGTAGCGTACTTGCTTAGCGTCAACTACCGCCTGAAGTTTAATCTGCGCAAGCGTTCCATGTTGCAGTCATTTTGGCTCATCCTCCTTTTCGTCTACAACTATCTCGTGAAGACATCATTCCTGATCCTATTTTGCCCATCAGTTGGTGATAAACACGTTTTCTATTACGACGGCTCAGTTGAATGCTTCCATGGCATCCATCTACCAATGGGAATCATGGCCGTTTTTGTACTGGCTGTGCTTGTTGTGCCTCCACCGATAGGTGTTATTCTGTTAACAAATGGCTACTGGCGAGTTGGTCCTCAGTACCTGAATGTATTGACTAGTGGCCTGCGTACCGAGCGCCGCTGGTGGTGGTCTGTTGATTTATGTCGGAGAGTGCTTCTTCTCGCCACGTTTGCCTTTATTCCTAACTGGTACACAAAGCAGGTAAGAAGAGCAACTTCTTGAGCAAAAACAAAACAAAAAACGTTGTTGCATAGAATAGAGTAACCTGTAGCCTGCGTAGCAGGCGCTTGGAAGTAGTGGGCGAAAGAGAGAACGCGCGCGCGCGAGGGAGACACGCAAGGGGTGACCTCTCCCCTCGCGTGTCTCCTTCTCGCGCGCCCGTTTTTTCTTGTGCCCACTACTTCCAAGCGCCTGCTACGCAGGCTAAGTAGCCTGTGAAACTAGCCAACATTTCGCGACACCACCACTGGTTTGCCCGCGAAATGACGTCTGAGGATCGTGCGCAAAAGTTTCATATTGGTAACGTATCACTACCCAGATTTGGGTAGAGTTTCTGATTGGTCGTGCCTCGAAGGAAATTTGCATTGCTTTAACAAATCAGAAGCACTACGTGAAGTGGCACGTTATCAGTTTGGAATTTTTGCGTTCGTTCCGCGGGGAAATGTCGGCTGTCGGCTGTTCTCGGGTTAAGAACAAAGCACCTCTCAGCCTTTGAGTCCAACTAGGATGTAAATTATTAGAACTGTCCTAAAACTAGTAAACTAGAAAAGAAAAACGTCGTTTAACGGTCTTTTAACTAGTTGACTTGTAACTATCCAGCGGATAAAAGATCAACCTCGTTGAAATTGCTTTTGAAATTTTGGTCCGTTTCGGAGTTAGTAAGTTATGGATCGACCGCAAATTGAGCAATCGCAGGGCGAAAACAGATCTAGCCATATAATAAGTTATTATTATCTATGTGTGTGTGAGGGCCCCCTGAATGTCTGTAACTGGTTTTTCGCGCGACAAGGCCAACCTCCCTTCTAGCCTACTGGAGCTTAACCGTCGTTTGTTTACGTTAAAAAAAAAACAACTGGTGTTGTTTTTCCTGTCCTAGATTGTTATCATCGCTGTGTGCGTTCTAATCCTCGCAGTCCACAGTAATTGTCATCCTTACGAGCGGCCGCGCGCGAACTACGCCGAGTCTATGTATTTGGTTGTGCTTTGCACTCTAGCATTGATGCAACTCGTGAAAGATGACTATGCAAGACTATGTGTCTGTCTGGTTCTCTTGATCGTTTTGGGTCTTCACACACTTGTGGTGTTTTGGTGTAAAGCTGTACTCTTCTTCCGGAAGCGATTTGACTGCTGTGCATGCGTTGATCCTACATTATTAAGAAGGTACGGCTATGAGGTCCTGCAAGAAACAAGAAGCGAGGAGAGCAAGGACACGGAGGCCGAAAGACGGAGGAGCATGTTAAATGCAGTCTTCAGCGCAGTCGATGGAGAAAATAACTTGCTTACCGACACGTAATCAGTTATACCAGGAGCCCAACGGCGATAGCCTGCGTGGAGAGGCAGGGGAGGTGAGGAGAGGGGGAGAAAAGCGTGAAAGGGACAAGGGAAAGGCAACACTTCCTTTCCTTCTCTCCCAGTCCCCTGTCCCTTTTCTCTCCTTTCCCCTCCCCTCTACGTCCTCTACGTCTTCCACGCAGGCTAAATGGCGGATAAGAGCAGTCTGGTTTCATTCAGAAACCGACATCCCCTAAGTTTGCGATGTAATAGATTTAACAATTACTAGCCGGAGGCGAAGTAAAAAAGGCGCTAATATTTACCAAGCCTGGGGAAAGTAATTGTCTTGCTTTTTTAAGAATTAAGCATCAGAGAAATCGAAAGTTCAATACTTTAATTTAGGAAAAGCTGATTAAAACTAGAGCTCTGTTCAAACAGTTAACTATGATTACAGGAAGCTGGGCGTAAAAAATGGGATTATCGCCGTGTGATCTGTCCTTGAAAACCATAATAATAATAATAATAATGATAATGGTTTATTAACAGTGTATCCACCTGGTGGCTCTTCACCTGTTAAAAACTACAATATAAAAAAATGAAGAACTACAATATACTACAAAAAAAAAACAACAACAATTGAAATCTACAATATGAAAAGTAATAATATTGGACTATAAAAGGATATTGTATAAAAATGTAACAGAGATTAGTAGTAGTAATACAACCCTATATGCAATTTACAAACTATTTACAAATTGTATTTAACAGATAAGCATTAACTTCCCTACATTATTTTTTGAAATCACTACAGTTTCTAATATTTGCCGGAAGGACATTAAATAACTTGGCAGCAGTCTTGAAAGGTGCCCTCTCCATTGGTATAATTAATCTTGTTGCTGCTCCTGACCGCAAAGATCGCAGATGTTTAACTGTATCTAGTGGTACGTAAGATGGCCAGCTGGGGGAGTGCAAGGCCGGGTGAAGGAGTTTGAGAACGTGGAAATCTCTTCGCTGTCTTACTGGTAACCACCCTATCTTAACAATATCGCTAATTTCATTTACATACCTACTCAGGACAAAACTAGCAGCTACTAGCTGGACACGTTGTAAACGTTTTAGTTGAAATTCCGGCAAAGGGTAATAGACAGTGTCATAATAGTCAAGTTTTGACAGCACCAGTGACTCCACTAAGTGCTTTCTGAGTGTATAACAGGCAAAGTTCTTAAGTTTTCTTATTATTTGTATTGTTCCGTAACAGCTCTTGCACGTTGCTTGCACATGCTCATCCCAATTAAGATTCTGGTGGAAATGGACACCAAGAAGCTTACTTACATTTACATATTCTAATGTACTATCTGAGATTGTAATATCTGGTTGGTTCTTATCTAAACTATGTACATGTGACATCTGGCTTGTGGATAGCAACATCGTCTTTGTCTTCTTCGAGTTAAGTGCTAGATGGGAGTCATCAGACCAGGAGCTCACATTGTTTATTGTGGAGTTTAGTTCTTGCGAACATCTTTGTAGTTCAGGAGCCGGACATCTGGAGCATATTGCAGTATCGTCAGCGCGTTGAAATGAACCAATCGAGGAAGGGAGATGATCTTGCAGATCGGAAACGTAGAGATTAAATAACATTGGGCTGAGGATCGACCCTTGTGGCACACCGAACCGTACGTTCACTGATACAGATGTACGATCATCAATCTGTACAAAATATGACCGGTCACTCAAGTAGCTATTCAACCAGCGCAGAAACGGCTTCGAGAAACCAAGCGTTGATAACTAAGTTATAAGAAGTTGACTGTATCGAACGCTTTAGAAAAATCGGCCAGCACCATGAGAATAACCTCACCTTTTTTCATCGCTCTTAGCAAATCGTCGCGCATACCCATTAGCACTGTATTGGTCGAGTGTCCCTTACGAAAGCTAGAAATTGTGTTGCGGAGTACTGATTCAGATTCACAAAAGGTGGTCGTCTGCAGCGCGACAAGTTTCTCGAAGACTTTTAATAGTGTGGGGAGAATTGAAATGGGACGAAAGTGTTCCTCAGACTTCGGTTGATCTACTTTGGGAAATGGACTGATCCTCGCATTTTTCCATGCCTTAGGAAAATAGTATTTCCTGATACAGTTGTTGATAATAGCTCTGAGGGGGCCAGCAATGGAATCAGCCACCATTTCCTCCTGGTCCGGTTGAGTTTTTTCAATATCAAAACGCCGTCTATAAGCAACGTTCTCTTTTGTTCTCTACTTCCAACTAAATGAAAACATGGTATATAGGCACTTTGAGTGACAATGTATTTAGCATGAAAGTACTAAGTGAGGACACTATTAATTTTAGAGATTTTACGTGCACATCCGAGCCACATCCGCGAGTATTGGTTCGACCTTGGGGATTTTCTATTAAGGAACTGTCCAGATAAGAACGATAGCAACAATGGCAACGAACATGTTGGAATGCAAAAAAGGTGCTAACTTTTCTATTGTCTTTACTTATTTCTGATTGGCTTAAACAGGGAGAGTTAACAAAACTTCATAAAGCAGTACATGTATTCATCCTTACTTTCCAACCATCTTCCATATAACAAAATCTGGTCTCAGTTTGAATGACAAAGAAATCCTATGTGGGGAACATGTAAAATTGTAAACTTTTCTTGGCTATTGTTTTCAACTCTTGTGATTGGTCAAAATCTCTTAACACAAAAAAAACATCCTTTCAAAGTGGAGTGTAAATGCATTTTATTGCGTAAACGGCCTTCATGTAGGTTTATGCATTCTCTGTGTAAAAATGAGAACATTTCTATATGGGGAAAGCACCGTTGCCGCATAACAAACCCGGATCATTACTTAAAGTCTCTTAAAAATGGCAGCGACCGTTTACGAAAGGGACAACTTCGCCGCCGACCGTTACCGATTGTATGGAAACGAGGCTTGACACGTACGTACATCCTCATTTGCTATCATCGAATGGCTATAACCATAAGAAATTGTATTCAGGGAAATTCGCTTATATTTTACACATTGTGTGGGTTATTGGTGATTTGAAAGTACGCGAGTTCACCTTAAATGTCACGTTCGCGACCTGAGGAACGAAATTAAATCACTGCTGCTTTAATTTTTAGCCTGAAGTGTATTTTTCCGCCTGGTTGTTTTACCTTCTACGCAAAAAAAAATTGTATAAAAGAGTTCCAAAAGAGCGGCAAAATGTTTAGTTATAGCATGGTCGAGATTTACATGTCAAGCATTAAAAAAAGCCAACTTTCGACACTGAAATTTCAGTATAGTCCATTGCAAATTTAAAGATGGCGGCTAAAATGGCATCCATTTTAAATGACGGCACAGATCCCAGGTGGCCCCATATCGTTTGAAATTCATATCATATTTTAGAGCCCATCACGGGCTTTCTAATAAAATAAAATTGCAAAACCCCTTTTAAATGTCTTTAATTTTGACATTATTAAATGAAACTGAATAAGAAAAAATCTAATTAGATAAATCAGAATTTTAATTACAATCTAAGATGGCAGTCAAGATAATGCCAGAGATCCCAGTTCTCACACAATATTTACGTCATCTTGTAAAGCCCATCATAGTCTGTCTATTAGCTTTTAATCTTTCTATCACACTGTAACGTAGTAAGGGCACATGGAAATGAGTTGCAACTAGCCCCTCCCCCCCCCCCGCTTCCCCCAGATTCCACCACCAGGGTGCGGGTGCTAGTATGTGCGAGTGTTAGCTGAAAGGTCTTTGCGTTCGCGAGTCCTGTTGAGGAGCATCATTTCGTCCTTGTTTGCCCCTTTGTAGACCTAATTAAGGTTGAAAAGTGCCAGTGAGAAAATAACTTTTTTATACAAAGCATTAGTGCGCGCTACACAACAATTAACAAGAGCGGATAAATGCCGTTATCTTTGCTGTAAAACAATACTGCATGAAGCCACTTTAGGAAAGAGGCTACGTTTTATATCGAAAAAACACTTGTGGCAGCCCAGCCTAGCTCGGTATCTGAAAGTTCAGTAATTAAGCACAGCCGACTACAACATTTTAATTTCCTGCAAGGAATTGGGGGAAATTCACTGTAGTCAGAAGTAAACCGAGAGCAGACTAACTGTGCTACAGGGTCCTGACTCCAATAGAAGCATGCAAATCAACGTTGAGTAAACAAATAAATTATGATAATGTACTAATAACTAATTCTGAACTATACAAGCTTGAAATAACAGCCGCTGCATGAGGTGCGTTCCGTGGCCAAGCTACGCCTGAGGGTTTGTTACTCAAAACCTGGTTACATTTCCAGGAAACTGTTTATGAAAGCAGAGTGAAGACATCCATGAAGTTAAGTTCAAAACCTTTACACTGTTAAAGAGTTTCAAACATCCCTATGTACTTTTTGTTTTAGCCTCTGTTCTTCAGTGGCCGGTAGGGAGGCTCGGAGACCTTGAGTCACTTCTGTCGACTATTTCGGGCCGCGCAGAGCTGTTTGCTCCTGAAGCTATAAAGCAACAACAAAACAAGATGATTAGAGAGTTTTTTGGCGTTTTAAGGGGATCAAATTTACCACCGATGTTGGTCGTTACTATTCTACTTAACCTTTTCACTGCCAGAGTGCTTGATGGAGTTTTGTAAGGTAACTTTTGAGTCTGTGGATGAAATCCTACGATGTGACCATTTAAATGAAAGCTCTCCGCCTGCACTTTCCCATAGTGCTATTTGTTTTTCAAAACGTTACAAAATGAAATGTGCAAACTTGGTGAAATTTGCCTTTGGCTTCATTTGGCAGTGAAAGGGTTAAGGCCTCCCCGCCATGATAGGGAATCCGAGACAGTCCTGGATTCTGGATTCCAAGCTGTGGATTCCGGATTTTTTTTGTCAGTGGAACTCGGATTCAGGATTCCTTGAGCTGAATTCCGGATTCCACAATTCTGGAATATCCGGATTACCTCACGTGGAGCGATAAGGCTACTGAGCTGCATTTTCCTGCTCTGTTATTCTTTTTATTATACCGTATTTATCCGATTGAACGCCGCAGATGGAAGCAAAAGTACAAATGAACGCCGCACCTAATTAAAAGACTGCGGCGTCTATTCGAGGATACTAATAAAAAAAACTCGGTACAACTTGGTAATCTACACCATCCAGACAATTATGATTCTTTCTCAGCAAAATAAGCGAGACATTGGAACCTTTAAAGTACATTATATATAAAAACGATTTACAGTAACTGTTGTCAGTGATTTAAGAAATTGTGATTTCGAAACAAACGCCGCTCTTGAATTAACGCCGCATCGGAAACGCTGAAAATTTAATAAACGCCGCGGCGTCTAACCGAATAAATACGGTACTAGAAACGATTGCTAACGTTCCGTCTTTTGTGTCTGTGGATAAGAAGTGGCTACTCAAATAACAGTACTTTCTTAGCTGTTTATTACGCTGTACAAGGTGGTTCTAACTTTTAATTCTGTAGATGAATTCCTTAATTGTGACTTTTCGAATGAAATTTACTGGTAGTACTTTCCTAGTACTTATGTTTGTTATATCATACAAAGTGGGAAACTTGTCCCCGATGAAGGGAAGTATGCACAAAAAAACTAACCATGATTGGAAACCCATGCAGGTTTACTGAAGATCGTATCCAAAATGCTTTTCCGTCTTTCAATTTCGGTGTCCCGGCTTGGTTCAGTTTCAGTGTTTGCTAATTCCTCGTATCTATGCCTTTGATCGTCTGGTCTCTCCTCGCCTGCGCAGCATTCAAATCGCCTTCGACAGAAGAGCCCAGCCTTTAAGAAGAATACCACAAGCGTGTGAATGGCGGCGGTGATCAAAAGAACCAGGCAGACGTAGAACGCACTTTCCTGGTCCTCAACAATTTGCATCATTGCCAGTATGGAGAGCACTAGCAAATACACAGATTCGGCGTAGTTGGCACGTGGTCGCATGTAAGGTTGGAAGTTACTGTGTACAGCAAGGATTACCATACAGGCGACAGTCATTAGAATCTAGAAAAATGATAGGAATATCGTCTGGAGATCAAAACGTTTTGATTGTATTTACGAAAAAGTTGAAGTTACTATGATGCAACCTTAGCGCCGTCAGGCGTTATTTGGGTGGGGCAGGGCCTAGCGAGGAAGAAGTCCTTGGTCTAGCCCTGCTTTATACTTCCCCCTCCCAGAAACTTAACCCCCCCCCCCCCCCCCGCTCAATCTGACATCTCTCCATCAATTCTATGTACATATGGCCATGGGGCCTTAAATACATCTCGGGTTCTCTGAGAGCGATTATTATAACTCACTCAATTTGTGTAAATGTAAATGGATTTTCTTCTATTTGAATTCCGCCCTCTTCTGTCGAAACCCTCTACTAAACGTCACAGCAAACGGCTTCACGTCGTGCCCATGCTGTGCAAGAGGCAAAAAGCCATCAAAAAGTAGATAAACGTGCAGAGTGCACGTGACGTCACGGCAGCCATGTTGGCGGTCATGAACGAAAGCATTTCTCTCCTCTGGGAACTAAACTCTATTTTCATGTAAATTCTTCGAGATTAAATTATATTGTATTGACGATCGACATGGCCGCCTTGTCACGTGGTTGGAAACCAAGAATAGACCGTTTCACCCACGTGATCAACATCTATATGTTAATTTATTGGCACAAAACAAAAGGTTTACATAAGAAAAAAATTCAACTCCCACAGGATCGGTCTGGAACACCAATATGGCCGCCGATTCATTGTTTTGTAACACCAACATGGCGGAAGTAACGTCATGTGAAAACTCAATCTTTTTTTATGTTTTAAGAGTTGGGATCAATTGAGGTTTCTGGGTTACTGACCACCTATACCCCCCCCCCCCACCTTTAGTCAACATCAACACTTTCTTCTCACTTAGGGCATTGAGACTATTGTGATTTAGGGGAGGGGTAGGTGGTCAGTTGCTATTATTCTCTCACCTTCTTAGTCTTCCAGTCTGCAGCAAACGCATAAATACCAACCAAGAGTACTCTTCGAAATAAATCCACTGACCACCACCAACAGCGTTCGGGGCGCAGGCTGTTAGCCAGAGTACCAACCCACTGCGGATTGACTCTCCAGTAGCCATTGGTTAAAAGAAATACAGCTATGGGCGGTGGGGTGACCAGTACCACTAACACGATTATGGCAACTATTCCTATTGGTAGATGGCTCTCATCGAAACATTGAATGTTGCCATCGTAAAAGAAAACGTAATTTCCGGCAACCCTTGGACAGAACAGGATCCGAAATGACGTCTCCACCAGGTAGTTGTAAACGAGGAGGAGGAGACACCAAAATGACCGCAGCATAAAGCGTCGGCGCAGATTAAACGTCAAACGGTGACTGAACAAGTACGCCAGGAAAAACACGGTAAAGACCAGGACAGGAACAGCGTAGCCAAACGTAATGGCGTATAAACTGTTTATTCCCCGAACGAGGCAGGTGTTAAGGAAATAAACTAAAGGGCCTCCAAAGTTAAATATGTCCGCTGCTAGAAAAATGTAAGTATTTTTCCCGATAGGATCAAAGATGAAGGGAAGGACCTGGTAGAAAAACAGCGGTCCTCTAAGCTCGCTAGATATGCCGGGATTGAGCCAGATGACGACGACACAAAAAATTATCACAATAGGAATAACTAAAGCTAACACCCATCCAGAATTGTTGCATTTTATGCACTCAGTTCGCCTGTAAAAAGAAGAATATTGTTTCATAATTGGTAAACATCAAGTTAAAAGTAAACATTGATGAAAATAAGTTAGTAGGTTAATTTAACTAACGCTTGCAATGCTAGCTCTTCCGTTTTCTGGATTTTCATTACCCGCAAAGTGTATAAAGGCAGTCCATGGAAAATTGTTGTGCAATTCCAATTTTTTACAGCAACATTGACATTTTTTTAGCATCCATTTCCGGTGGAAAATCGCGCGAGAGAAACAGATCAGAGAAAAACAAATCGCGCCATCTGTCCTAGCCGATGTCACCACAGGTTTCTGCACGAAATGACTTCTGATCGAGAAATTTGCGCAAAAATTCCATACTGATGACGCGTCACTTTTAAGATCTCGGTTGTGCTTGTGATTGGCTGAAAATTTCCTTCGACCAATCAGAAGCACTACCCAGATCTGGGAAGTGACGCGTCAACAGTATGGAATTTCTGTGCTTGTTTCTCAGACGTCATTTCGCGGGGTGGTGGCGTCGCATAATGTTGGCTGTTTTCTCAGCCTACATCATTCCGTCTATACACCATAGCTCTCGAACAATCAGCGCACAAGAAATCGCTCAGTTATTGTACAATATATACGTTTTTATGTAGTTGTGGCCTACCTTAACCCAACGCTAGTGTTGGCTTTGCATTTTCCGCACATCCACCCTTCACGATTATCAGCGCACTGGCCATTACCGTAATTCTCAGCACTAAATAAACACCCGGGCAGTCCTTGCGTTTTCGAACAGTTACAGTAGTTGAATGGACAGAAGTAGGTCACGAATTTTCCACTGGTCGTCGAGTTTCCCCAGTAACCGTTTTTCAGGAATACTTTGCCACCATCGTCGCATCTGTTGTTTTAAAGGACAAAGAGATGTGTTAACACTCAAGCAAGCTAGGAATTAGCTCCTACACATATTGCATGGCAACAACAGTTCGCACCATGCCCGGCACCATGTAAGGGGTGCTTACCATTGCACAAACCACTCGGGTGAAAAATCTTGTGTATAAACATAAAACAATAAAATTTGAAGTCGTGGGAGAACAACCGTCTCGATACAAAATCAACTGAACAGATGTGAGAGAGTGGAAAAATTGCATCGCCTAGAATCGCAGCCCATAATATCTGACGCTTCACAAACGGAATAGCGTGAACCATTTGATTTTCCAACCGGAATTTCCAGTTTTTCCATGTAAATGGTAAGTAGGATTGCGGAGACTGGGGAATTTTTGCTTGTGGATTCGGAATCCTGCGCTTTGGAATCCGGCTAAAGACTGGAATTTCACAGATAAGGAATCCCTTATTCAGTACCTGGAATCTGGAATCCACGGGGTGGAATCCACAGTCCAAGAATGTCTTGGATCCCTTTACATGGTGCTAAACAGTTAATTTTATCTTCCCTCCCGTCTAGATATTAAACACCCATCGACTGCAGGGAATGATTCCAGAGGTCCATTCTCGGAATACCTAGGACAAACCGTGCTTCGCCATGGATTAGGAAAGAAGAAAACTCCAGCACCAAGGGTAAAATAATGAATTTGTAACGTATAATTATCACCTGAGGTAATAAGCTTATTTGAAAAAGATATCGTTGTACATATTTCTAAAAGTACTGTCGACTTCCGAGAACTCGAACCTTCTTGGGAAATAGAAAAAAAGTTCGAGTTATGGGGAGTTTGAAGCAAATAACCGGACGCAAGGAAATAAGCAAATGGATGGGGAGGGAATGCAATTTAAATCAACAAAGTATACAGGGATGGACACTGAATTTGATTTGGAGTCACAAAAAAGTAAAGACAAAGAATTGACACGGTTTTTTTTAAACAAATTCAATGTTTCGGACTTCAGTACACGGTTTTTCTCCCGACTTGCCACGCGCTTACCTCTGCACACCCTCCAGGTTTGTATTACACATGCACTTTTTTTTATCATCCGAGAAGATGAAACCGGGATGACAATCTATTAGTTCCAGTTCGACAGACTGTGAGTTCATTAGCGTCGAGGATACATCTGTGAACATAATCTTTCGCTTCTTAACTGTTTTGTTGTATACGCCTTCTGATAGTCGAAACGAAAATGGTACAGATACATTGGGAAAGATCACAAACAAACTGTCATCGAGCAGAAGTTTCTGTGCGCCGTTTAGTCGGTCGATTTCAAACGCAAAAACGCTCGTGATTACGTCGCCGCCGAGCTCATCCATGGCTGTCAGGTTTAATGGGACGAGTTCTCCAGGCGAGACCTGAAACAGGAAAAGTTACAAAACATTTAGAGCGCAATGTTATTTGGATCATCATCATCAACATCATCACCATCATCAACTTTTTACGAAGACAGGTAAAACCCTTACACCTCAAGCTTTGAATACATGTGTTGTCTTAGGATTCTTAAGCGGCTTTCGGTAAGATTTCAATATCTTGAATCATCATCATCATCATCATTAGTAAACCAATCACGATAAAAATAAATTTTTAAAATACAGTTTTGAATTACATTGGTCCTCAGTTTCGTTCCCTGTAGCAACTGACTATGCGATGTTTTGAGTTGAAGAATGTATTTCAAAAGTCTCAAGAGTTCGTAAAACATTAAAACGCTATGGTTATGATAATGATTATGATTACGAATGCGATAAAGATTATGATTTTGATTAGCCATGCAATCGAGCTTTAATTCAGTGTATCTTTTCAAATTCACGATATGTCGATCACAAGAGCACACAGTAGAAGCTATCCTTTGTAAGCGGACAGCTCTACTTAGCTTACGGCCGCCTTCACACAGCCCTGTTTTTTCTCACCTCCTATACAAAATCTGTATTTTTACATTTCCGTAAGCGGTCAGCTCCAGTTATAGTCCCCCTCGCAGCCGTTTTTTGGATGTCACGTGTTCTTTTGGGGGAGCGTTGCGTGACATCCAATAACGGCTGCGAGGGAGACTACTCCAGTTAAGGACACTTCTTTTGCGTCCCGAGGCTGTCCGCTCACGAGATCTTCCACTGCAATTTAATTAAGACCATACAAATAAACGAGCGGAAAATGAAACTGAATGGGACATAAAAAAGAATGGGAAAAGTGAAAAAAAGACCATCCTACTGAAAATGAATGGGACATAGAAAGGAATGGCAAAGACGAAAAAAGACCAACTGAAAATGAATGGAACATAGAGAAGATTGGGAAAGATCAAAAAAGACTAACTGAAAATCAATGGGACATAGGAAAGAATGGGAAAGGTGAAAAAAGACCAACTCATACCTTGAGCGGATTTTTATCAGCTTTATACGTATACTGTTTGGTGTCTGTAGCGATATCGTATAGATCTCCACTCAACACTTTGGTTCCACCATTCCAAACAAGAGAGTTATTTTTGTAAAGGAATTTGTCCCAGCGGAGGGCTTTCTTAGGACTGTGGTGGGGAGGTGTTTCACTCCAAACACATCGTTGAAGAGACGAGATATAAATAGCAGCGCCCTTAACATTGCTGGAGTTCTCTATGAAGGATACGTTAGTCTGAAAACGAAAAGGGTTGCAACGTTGGTACCGACAGGACTACAGTCAAAGCCCGTTAATACGGACACTACATGAGAAGGGCATAGACTGAAGTGTTCATATTAACGGGGTGTCTTTATTAAGTGGGCCATGTTGTTTTTAAAAGTCAAAAACACACCTTTTACTTGTACAAAAAAACTAAAGACATATATAAAACAAGACATTAGTATCATCAAATTAAACATCATTCTGTAACCTTCACAAGCAGTCATTCAGCCGACTATGTCGATGGAAACACTCAAAATGGAACATTTATAAATTACTTGATCAAAAGTGCATGTTCTCTGCCTAGCTCCTCTGATGCAACAAATAGTCTACAATTCATCCTATCCGGTGCACTGTAGCGCTTAGCGCTGGGAACATCGACATGTTGCCGGCAACTGAAGGATTTTCTTCACCTCAGAGGGAAAGGTGTATTGCATACACCACACTATTGACAATAAATTGTCCGCATTATTAGCAAAGTTGACGTTCTAAAGGAAGCTGTTGTTATCCGTTTTAACGGGTGTCCGTATTAAGGGTATAACGAAAGTGGGTGAAATTTAGAGAAAACGTAATGTGTCCAGCGACTGCCCATAAAGCGAGGTTCGGCTGTATACAAATTGCGCTTTACATAAGTTATTGCTCTAATTATAGTGAGGTTTTAGGTTTGATTTCCAGGGCGATTTAAAGAAATTCTTCTTAATTCCTTACATACTTTCAAGATTCCCAACAAAGGCGAACGCGCAGTGAAATTTCAGGGAAGATCAGCTCTATCAATTTAAATTTCAGCTTTGAGGTTCTTCTTTGTTCAAACATTTATGTTCATCATAGCCACAAGGATCACTATACGTTTCTGGAAAACTGCCCACCTACCTCTCCCCTAAGCCAACATTTTGCCCTAGGAGAGAGGTAAGTGCTAATGTTGGCTTAGGGGAGGGGTAGGTGGGCAGTTCGCCAGAAACAAATACCTTCCATTGTGAGGGTGGTAAGTGTGGATTGGAGTAAGCCAGAAAGCAGTCGGGATTATTCGCATGTGTAAACTCATCCATCATGTATTCCAGGACATAAACAGCCCCACCAATACCCTTGGCCTGATTTCCAATGAATGTCAGTTCACTATAGGGGTAAAGTTTGATCTGACTTGACATTATCAACACCGCCCCTCCACTAGATCCTGTGTTATTAGCGAAAGTCAGCTTCCCATCAACGTCGATAACGCAATCTTGGAATGTTGCGGCCCCTCCTAAAGAAAATAGAATTGCTAACATAAAAACAAGGCTTAAAAGCAACAAAAAGCAACGGAAGGAAACCAAGAGCCCACAACGACAACTCTCATATGTAAAAAATGCACCTGTGTTTACAAGATCATGACCGTTTTTTGTGGGCTGCAGTTCAGAAGGCGCAGCCATTATGCCGTCAAGTTTGTAAGTAAGTCTGAGCTAAATGCGCCCGCGCGCCGGTTAGCTAACTTGGTACAGCGCCGGTCTGCTGAACGGGAGGACGCAGGTTCAAACCCCGGCCAAACCAACAACCAGGGTTTTTCAAAAACACTGCTACAATTATGCTGGTTGTGATTTAAGATCTTGTATCAGTTCAGATATTGGATCATTGGACGAAGACGTTACGCCGTTGCGGCGCTCTCCTCCACAATTGTTTCATTGGTTAAATCAAAGTGGACGTAAAAGAATCCACAATTCTTTTCAAAAAGTCTAAGGGATTCACCCCAGTTGTTCCCTGCCTCATTACACACAGCACTCGTATCATTGGCTAGGAGGTCATAAATGGAAAGATGGCCGCTGCCAGACTAAATATGTTATTATACAATGTAAACAGGACGCGTCTCTTGTCTGCTCATCGGCAACAATTTATAGTTAAAACATTCAAAGATGCGTAGGCCCGCAATGTAAATAACAGTTACGAAATATTTTCACAAACCGAACCGTGCAATTGTTATGTTCTTTAAGAAGACACTTCCAAAGATTGCAGCACTGGTTCTCGAAACGGACTTTACGTTGTTGTTTGTTTGTCTTTCCTCTGCTTCTTAATTCATTTCGTAAGGACCTTACTCCGAAACTACGACGGCGACGGCAACGGGAACGTCAAAAAAGTAATAGGTTTAATGAGCAAAACAACAACTTTGCACGTGCATCACGCTTTTTTGTACATTTCTTTGCAGTCCGCATAACTACGACGTGAAATGACCAAATTTGGAAACGGGAACGGCAAGCCGATAAATTGTACAATCCCTGTCAGAACTTGGGCGCGGTCCCTTCTCTTCAGCTCCAATCCAAATTCCCTTCTTTTAGGTAACTGAGCCCCTTGGAATAATCGCGAAAAAAGTGAAAGAATGCGGAGTCTATTTTTCAACGAAGTTTTCATGGACGTCGCCGTTGTCGGATCGTCATCGTAAGGTCCCTCGTAATTCAGTGACTACGGCGACGGCAACGGTGAAGGCAACGACGACGGCCAAGAGAACTTCAAAGTACAATTATTATAGTTTTGAAAACAGAGTAGAGAGCAACCGAAACCAACAAATCTGTAAATTTCCCTGTCTTCCCGAACTCGTCAGCTACCTCCGATTTATCATCTTACCTCCACTGTTTTGCTGAAAGATGTTGTTTCCCTTGAACAGTAAGTTTATTCGCTGACTTGTAAAGGGGCTTGTTCGCGCAAAGTTTGGCATGTTGTGGTAAGTAAAGGAACAGTCGATAAATTCTGCTAACAAATCCACCTTGCTGCCGTACGGTTGTGCTGTTGTGAAGCGGATTGCAGAACTTGCATTGGCACGGTTGTTGCTAAATTTCACTGCTTCAAACCTGAAACAATTAACCACGACTGTTACCTAGGGGCTGTTTGCATGCCAGAGGGAGCAAGATCCTAGAAAGCAGACATCCTAGCGCCTTTTTGGTTTACATGGGCAAGGATCGTCGGATTCCTAGCTGAGAGGCAGGAAGATCCTAGCACCATGTAAACTGCCTCTGCTAGGAAGATCCTAGTACTAGGTACAAACCAGACAAAAATGACGGCGGGTAGTTCACTGGCTAATAACGGCAATAAAAGCCGACCATTTCGTTTAGCGTTACCAAAAGCTAATTATTGTCATAATTCTACTTAAAGGTAGTTATTGAAGCATGTTTGTTTTTGTCGCTCGCCATTTTTAATTCCTTCCCGATGTAGAAGGCCTAAATGTAATAAACGGTCCTAAATGTAATAAAGTTCGAAATGTAATAACAATTTGCCCTAATGTAATAAACTCTTAAGCTGCCAATTACAGTAATTACTCGAACAAGCTCCGCCCTCAAATAAGCACCGCATTGGGGGGGGTGGGGAGTTAATTAGCGCCGCGGCGCTTATTCGAGTAAATACGGTACTAAGCGGTATTGCTATAGTATTACTCTTCGCTCTCAAATAAGCGCCGCATTTTTGGAGAAAAAAGTTAATAAGGGCCGCGGCGCTAATTCGCATAAATTCGGCACATTTCCTTCTGCACTGTGAACTTTAACGTTCACAAATAAATCGCTTGTAAACGGCAAAGTAACAGTATTTTTGTAAAAAAGCAATATTTAAGCAATAGAAAACAAGGTCAACATCATATCTGTATAAAAGCATTAACGGCTCTTTTGATTTTCTTGCAGTGAGACTTACAGTGGAACTCGTTAATGTTGCTTTTCCTTTCATTTCCTTGTTTCCTATTCTTCCCCTACTTTCCTCGCGGCCACTTTCTTCCTGTCCCAAGGCGGCCGTTGTGGAAAGGTACAATAGGTCATTTTTGTTACTTGTTATGTTTTACATAATTGTAAACAATATGGATTAACCAATAAAATGAATGAATGAATGAATAAGTATACTTAATAGACAAGAAACTGTTATGTGTCGCTTTGAAGAAATTTAATCATAAACGTGAAGTTCAACGTTGCAGTACTGTTTTCCTCGAATAAGGGCCGCGGCGCTCATTTACTTTTTTCTCCCAATGGTGGCGCTTATTTGAGGACGGCCCTTATGCGTGTAAATATGGTAATTGGTAATGTACCGTCTTTACGCGCGTGAATAAGTGCAGCGACGCTTATTAACTTTTTGTCCCAATTGCTGCGCTTGTTTTAGATCGATGCTTATTCGCATAAATACGGTAATTGGTATCTTAAGAGTTTATTACATTTAGGGCAAAATGTTATTACATTTAGGACTTTATTCTTTATTCGATCTTGACAATTAAGAAAACCTGATGACGACGTCGAGCGTTTGCATAACTGTCTTAAATTCTCCCAACCCCTCTAGTGTTTATATTAGGCTATTCAAGCACGGGAAAAAAAGTTTTCTATTGCTTAGATATTGCCTTTTTACAAAAATACTGTTACTTTGCCGCTTACAAGCAATTTATTTGTAAACGTTAAGTTTCACAGTGCATAAGGAAATGTACCGAATTTACGCGAATTAGCGCCGCGGCCCTTATTAACTTTTTTCTCCAAAAATGCGGCGCTTATTTGAGAGCGAAGAGTAATACTATAGCAATAACGCTTAGTACCGTATTTACTCGAATAAGCGCCGCGGCGCTAATTAACTGCCCCATCCTCCCAAATGCGGTGCTTATATTTGAGGGCAGGGCTTATTCGAGTAATTACTGTAATTGGCAGCTTAAGAGTTTATTACATTTAGAGCAAATTGTTATTACATTTAGAACTTTATTACATTTAGGACAAAATGTTATTACAATTAGGACCGTTTATTACAT